AAGACTAGTTTTGAGGATCTGATCAAAGACTTTGCAATTAAAAAAAGTGGACGTATACAAAAATAAACTTTATTTTCCATCTTACTGTAAATTTTGTTTAATTTCGAAAAATAACATTTTATTTTATGGTTTATTATTGTTTATATTTTGAATTACATATATATGGGGGGGGGGGACCAAAATCTTTTAAGTGCTTAGGGCCTCTAAGGGTCTTAATCCGGCCCTGTAAAGGGAGGCTGTATGTAAAGGTGACTGTTTTGGGCTGTATCACTGTCAGGATAAATATTAAACATTTTTATTATAATAAATTTTTCATTGTTATTTAAGGTCATGAGAAGTTTCCAAATGTTCGTATGTTTGTTTAAATAATGAATAAAATTTGATGTGAGAATGTTGTGGCTGCTGTGGTTGTAGTTGAGTTGCCAATTCATTAATATAATTTTCTTCATTATTTATGCAAATATACGAAAATTTGGAAACGTCTCATGACCTTCTATAACAATGAATAGTTTATTTAATAATTATCCTGACAGTGATACAGCCGAAAACAATCCACTAATCACAATCACCTTTACATACAGCCTTCCTCTACCAAGTATTGCCAGGTAAAATAGCAAGCACTTGACCCATGGTGGGGTCGGTGCATCTTTGGGTGACTGTACATGGATGTGAAATATTATTACCGTACACTGGTGAAAGTGGTGATAATAAGCTTTCTTACAGGGCTGCACACATCTCACGTCCTTATAATAATAAAGTCAAGTGTGTGTGTGTGAGAGTGAAATAACTATATTGAGGGCATTTCGCCTTGTACGTGTTGTGTTATAATTACAATATCGTAAATATGAGAGAAGAGCTGCCGGTTTCTCTCACTGATGTTTAGTATAAATGGTATGATTTAATCCCTTTGAAAATAAATATTGAGTTATTATTATTATTATTATTATTATTATTATTATTCGGGAAATTTATGTTTACAGTACTTGTTTTCCTTGTTCTTGTGACGTCACATGCTAACGTAATACAGGAAGTCATTGTGTATTTATCATTAATGTACCAACTTCCTTCCTGTAGTCACTAACATGTGCTTGTAAGAAAAATATATTATAAACCCTTTAAATTACTATATCTTAAAGTCAAAACATGTATCAAGTATTGTAGTCGCTGATTAGTATATTGTACACTGTCTACCCACAACCTTTCTCCTTGATCAGTATACTGTACAAGTGTTTAATATTGTACAGTACTGGAGCCATGGGTTATATATTGTGACGTGTACAGTGGGTGTAACTGGAGAGAAAGAGAGATTCACAGTGAACATTAGGCTTTATGTTTTAGTTTTATGGCTACAATCAACTGTACTGTATTGTGCGGAAAACGTCTTGTGTGCACTCAAAACAGCTCGTCTCACCTTCTCTTCCCTGAGCTCATTCGTGTCTCTTGATAATGGAACTTTAAGGTTTGACTACATGAGGCTTCCTCGTTCAACGTCGTAAACACTTGTTGATAACGTTGTTCATTTGCTAGTTAGACAAAACATTACTAAATGTTTTTTCTTCAAAGTTCTTCACTATATAAGGGGCAGTACGTAGCTAGGGGAATGTTTTGAGGATCATTGCGTGTACAGTACAGTACAGAAGAGCCCGATACTTGTCTATCTTGAACTGACTAGTAAAGTTGTAGCGTGTGAGGGATATTTGTGGCTTGATCCACCCAATTGGCCAGTTATTATCAACTGTTTTATAACATTGTTTAATAAGAAGATGAAAGGGAAGAAATCGTTCATGTATGTTATAGTTGACGTGGTTGAGAGGTCTAAAGTCATTTGTATTATTATATTTTGTATACTTTCTTGTCTTTAGTGGACAGTGGCCGGCTTACCACCATAAAGCTTACCACCAAATTTTATTCATCTTTTTAATGACGACGCTTCATACAAAGTTAGCTTTCGTCGCGACGTGCCTTTGTTTGTGGCCGGAAGGAAACGAATCTGGTCATTTTACTCAATTCACAAGGGTTCGGACGTTACCGTTTTCCTCTAACAGAGCTGTAAGAACGTACTGTACTGTACTGTACTGTAATGTATCTTCTGTAGCGGAAACTCGGAAATGACGTTAAATTTTTTGTGTATTTAAACTACAATATAAGTGACAGACAGACAAGTTTTGACCTTTCCCACCGATCACTGCATTCAGCATATTCATGGTCATGATTTGTTAGTTTGATTAATTCAGTAGTTAAAAAAAAAGATGAGTTTACGTAACTTGAGTTTAGTGATGATTGTAGCGGATCTAAAGTTCTGGTTACATACAGTACAGTATCTCCCATAAAAGAAATATATCTGTGTTTATACTTATTCATGTACTATATAATTTAATTAACTTACAAACAGTAAAGAAAAAAAAATAATGCCAACATTAACTGCCCGATATGACCCATAATATCTTGGGGAGGGGGGAGGTAGCGTGGGAGGAACAGCCAGTCAGGGTTGTTTGCTCGTCTGGTAATAATGTAGTAAGGGGCGACTGAGAGGACTTTAGCTCTTATGTGGTATTACTGTGACCTTAAAAGGGTTTGATGTGTTCAAGATATAGGCGCTTATTAACTCATGTGTAAGAGATAGAGGCGATAAGATAAAGAACCCCTCGAGTGCCAACAACAAGTATGAGGGTCATTGAGGAGACGTGCTGGTGTCTTGTGTGACCTCACTCTGTCATCATCATCTATATTATTATTATTATTAATAAATTAATAACAGCAGTCAATCACCAAAAAAATGATACAGTGGAATTTGTGTTGTTTTATGTAGTGTACAGATAAGCATCTTATATACAGTACAGGGACCGCATTTTCAAAAGCATTTATGGGACTGTCTCTTTGTTTACCCCGTAACTGGAGTAATTGTCTCCTTAGCTGATGTAACACGGTCAACCCGGTATAGTAAGTCGCTATTTCCCGATTGCACAAGGAAAATTGCTAAATTGCTAATATATATTTTAATAATGTTTGTTAGACTTGTTTTATCATAAATCAAAGAAGATAATGTTTTGTACATCACAAACTAAAATACGATTTTTTATTTTTTATATTTTTTTTTACGATAAGAAGAGGCTTGAGTCTTTCTATTTATCACGGCATGGAAGAGATGCAGCTATTGTCTTCTTACAACTTTTCAAGTAATTTGTACCAAAATAGAAGATTTCTATTGTCCACATTTTATGGTACAAATATTTTTTTATGACTGAGTAAACTTGGAGATGAACCTTATTAATGTGGTATAGCTGTAGATATCCGTCAGTAATGGAAGCAAAATACGAGGTCGTGAACATTTTTGCCTAGACTACGCCTTTGCTAGGACCAAGTTATAACAAGTTATTCTGCCAAGTATCCAATAAGTACACAAGACTCATGGTTAAATAATACCTCACCCAATCTATGTTCATCAAATCTAATAAAAATGGGTGGTAAAAATTAACATTGGTATTGCATTTTTTTTTCTTATAAAAAGAATTATGTTCATAGGTTTTTTATCCAATACATTCAGTCGTTTTTTTTCGCTGCAAAATTAGTTAAATGTTCCTAACAAAACCTAACCTTACCTTACCTTATCTAACCCAACCTAACGTTACCCTACCTAACCTAACCTAACCTAACCTAACCTAACCTAACCTAAGAAAGCCGCAATGCACATGACAGATAAGTTCTCTAGAAAATATTCAATTTCATTAAAAAAAACCATTTGCAGAGATAAATTTTTTATAATAATTTCTCCAACATATCTATAAATCTGTTGATGATATATAAATGTAACTTACGATGCCCCTATTATGCAATTTAACCTTTGTGCATTTTAAATTTAGGTTAGGTTAGGTAAAGGTTACGTTAGGTGGTTAATATATAGGACTAACCCGCAAACGAGTTATTTGTATTACTGTTTATTTTCTTACTTTATTTTCATTAGTGAGCTCTGATTTGGTAATAATTTCTTGTGCAAATGTCTTCTTTTGTATATAATTAAGCGCCTAGGTGCGCACTAATTTATCTTCCTAGCGGTAATGTGGCCGTGCTCTACTGCAGCGCTTTTCCCTGGGCTCGCAGCAGTTTAATTTTCAGCATGACGTGTGAAGGTTGTCGCCGGTCTTATATGGACGTAATATGCGAATTAGGGATAAAGTCAACGAGACCCTTCAATTGTTCAAAGGCCACGGCATTGTTCTTCTAAACAGAGACAGTGCACACTGCGGGAAACCCTGTGCTTTCAGACCGGAAAGAAATTTGTTCATCACTTCCTCAACACTGGACGTTTCTCTCCATCACCATAAATCACTCCTCCGCCCGGGCTGCATAAACGCCACTGCGGCCATATTATCTCACGTCCAGAAAATGCCTCAAATTTCACCATATCATTGTAAGTTCTTTCTGTTTAATATACGGGGGGGCCCCACCCCACGGTAAGGAAGTTTGTCTTGTGTGGCATTGCATAATTTTCCGGGTGGGGTCTTGAAAGAGCATGAACATGCTGGCTGAGCAAGAACTAACCTAACATAAGACTTATTAAACTAGATACATTCAGTTCACTTAAGACAAGACGAAGTTTAGGTTTCATTATTATCTTCTCCATTTTTTGTACAGCACAGGTATTTGTTAATGTTACGTGGCTCGTACAGTTGAAACCAAGCTAATTATTATTATTTATGTGGGTTTTAGTTATTAACAATAATCATTTTATTGTTATTATGAGTAAAACATTTTTTTATAATATTAATGTGTTGTTCCATTACATTAAGTAGAGTAGGTTTGGTTGAGAGGTTATAGTGTACCACTCAGGTTTGTGACTTATATTAAGCGTAATCCGTGTCTTATATGTTCCTTGTGTATGTCCACAGTTTGGAAGGTTGACAGCTGAAATATGGTAGGGAGGTGCGGGTAGAGGATGGTCACACCACCATGGAGCAACTCAGGTCCTAGTGTACAATTTGTGGAGGTTAAAAAATTAAATAATTACTTTTCGTTTATTTAAATATTATAAAATTATTGAGAAATAAAAACATTAAACAATATAACTTACATTTGAAGATGATGGTGGATACAAGTGCTGAGATGTACTATGTGGGTGATGAGGTGACCAGTGGGCAGACCATGTGGGTGATGAGGTCAACAGTGGGCAGACCATGTGGGTGATGAGGTCAACAGTGGGCAGACCTTGTGGGTGATGAGGTCAACAGTGGGCAGACCATGTGGGTGATGAGGTCAACAGTGGGCAGACCATGTGGGTGATGAGGTCAACAGTGGGCAGACCATGTGGGGTGATGAGGTCAACAGTGGCAGACCAGGGTGATCAACAGTGGGCAGACCATGTGGGTGATGAGGTCAACAGTGGGCAGACCTTGTGGGTGATGAGGTCAACAGTGGGCAGACCATGTGGGTGATGAGGTCAACAGTGGGCAGACCATGTGGGTGATGGTCAACAGTGGGCAGACCATGGGTGATGAGTGGGCAGACCTTGTGGGTGATGAGGCCAACAGTGGGCAGACCATGTGGGTGATGAGGTCAACAGTGGGCAGACCATGTGGGTGATGAGGTCAACAGTCAGAACATGGGTGATGGGCAGACCATGTGGGTGATGAGGTCAACAGTGGGCAGACCATGGGTGGTGAGGTCAACAGTGGGCAGACCATGTGGGTGATGAGGTCAACAGTGGGCAGACCATGTGGGTGATGAGATGGGCGGCCATCTGACTAGGGTGGTAGACTGGTGAAGATGACAATAGTTGGGACCCCTGCTCAGTGAGACTTACAGTTATTTCTGGAGAGTGGCACACACACACACACACACACACACACACACAGTTGTTGCAGTAATAACGTACAAAATGTCTTCACGCTTCTGGTGAAACTAGGGGCCAATTGCAAGAACAGTCGTTGGGTGTACGACGCTGTTCACGATGACCTTCTTGCCCTGATCTTGTTTCAGGAATACCGCCCTTTTGAAGCTCTGGAGAGATCTCGAAGCTTCGATATTTTGAGTACAGCACTAGCTAATAATTCCCACCAGGAAACTTGTTTCGAGACTCCTCCAGGGCTTCGAAAAGTGCAGGATTCCATGTGTTAAAGGCGATATTGCTGAAAAAGACCAGGGCAAGAAGGTCATCGTAAATGGCGTCGTACACCCCATAACCGTTCTTGCAATTGGACCTAGATACGAAAAACGTCAGAAAAGACGGTTTATTTGTTAGGGTTTCTCATGGAGGTATTATTTGGCAAGGTGAAGGCGAGTACCAACACCTTGGTCGTAACAAAGTGTTGTTCTTAGTAGCTAACAGCTCTCCCGCTTTATTTATCGAGGTTATTAGTCTTGAGGTTACAACTCTTGAGGTTACTTGGAACAATGGTTGCTTTTTATCAATATATGAAGTGGGTTTTTCTTTCCTTATCAACCGTGTGAGGCGCTGTCCAAGGTTACTGTACTGCGCCACTGGGCTTCGACACATCTTGTAATCCAAACTTGTGGAAACTATGACGATAAATAAATGATGGTGATGAGGTTGATGGTGTGGGCGGGCACTAAACACAAGAGTGAGCAGCCAGCACAGGGGTAGACGGCCGACATCTGTCTAGCTGCTGAAGGATGGCTCCAAGTTTAGACGCAAGCTTAGTCACGTACTCCTCCTGTCACGAAAAAACACCACACCCGTTAAACCTTATAGTGTAAATATTTAACTGTTATGTATTGTACCGACATTTTACACACGGTAAACATTGCAGCGTGATTATAAACCTTTACTAATATATTGATGCTCTACTGTCAGTTACTCTTTGTGTTCTATTACTAATGGAGAAAGTTCAGGATCATCTGCTTTGGAGTATATTGTGTGAGGGAGTGTGTTGTGTGTGAGGGGGTGTGTTGTGTGTGAGGGGGTGTGTTGTGTGTGAGGGGTGTGTGTGTGTGTGTGAGTGAGAGGGGGTGTGTGTGTGGGAGGGGGTGTGGGGAGGGGGGTGGGGTGGGGAGGGGTGTGGAGGGGGTGTGTGTGGGGGGGGAGGGGGGTGTGTGTGTGTGTGGGAGGGAGTGTGTTGTGTGGAGGGGTGGGGTGGGAGGGGTGTGGGAGGGGTTGTGTGGGAGGGGGTGAGTGTGAGGGGGTGTGTGGTGTGAGGGAGTGTGAGGGAGGGGGAGGGGTGTGTGTGTGAGGGGGTGTGAGGGGTGTGTGTGTGGGAGGGGGGGGTGTGTGAGGGGGTGTGTGTGTGAGGGGGTGTTGTGTGTGTGAGGGAGGTGTGTGTGAGGGGTGTGTTGTGGGGGGTGGTGTGGGGTGTGTGGGAGGGGTGGAGGTGTGTGTGTGAGGGGGTGTGTGTGTGAGGGGGTGTGGTGTGGAGGGGGGTGGTGTGTGGGAGGGGTGTGTTGTGTGGGAGGGGGGGTGTGTGTGAGTGAGGGGGGTGTGTGTGTGTGTGTGGGGAGGGGGGTGTGTTGTGTGTGAGTGAGGGTGTGTTGTGTGTGTGTGGGAGTGAGGGGTGTGTTGTGTGGGAGTGAGGGGGTGAGGGGTGAGGGGGTTGTATGGGAGTGAGGGGGTGTGTTGTGTGGGAGTGAGGGGTGTGTTGTGTGGGAGTGAGGGGGTGTGTTGTGTGGGAGTGAGGGGTGTGTTGTGTGGGAGTGAGGGGGTGTGTTGTGTGGGAGTGAGGGGCTGTGTTGTGTATGAGGGGGTGTGTTGTGTATGAGGGGAGTGTATGTTGTGTAGAACAGATGAAAGGTGAGGGCGGTAGTATTTACCTGGGACCTGACAGAGTGATACACCTGTTGCTCGAGGCTGACAATTCGGCTTCGTATTTCTTGCACCTTGTGGACGTCTCGACTCTCACTCACTTGTAGTTGTTGGATTCTGGAGACATGAAACAACTCTAGTTAGTATCTATCGTCACCTTCTGCTAGTGATAATAATTGTTCCTGTAATTCCTTCATTGTGGTAAAGCTTTATGTCTGTGATTTGTGTACAAAGAAGACTTTTTATAGAGTTGCCCAAAAATCTGTCATACCAACAGACTTCTTCCTCACACATACTGTACTGGTAAAGGCTAAAAAAAAGAAGACATTGATCTCTAAACCGAATTAAAAAGAAGTATCGACTAGTAATGAGCTTGACTGAGTACATATGGGTCAACAACTTGCTTTAGAGGGACGTCTGGCTCACTATTGGTAAAATACTAAACACATTGTGGAGGAGACGTACATGTATTGAACAATTCGTTGTCGGTAGTTCTGGATGGGCGGTGTAGGTGACTGTGAAGTTGTCAATCTTTGGCTGTTCAAGGCGACATGTTCAAAGTAGGCAGGTGACGACGACGGGTAGGTGAGGGGTCGTTCAGCAGGTGAATTAGTTATGTTGTAGTGGCGGTTGTCCTCCAGGTGAGTTTGGTGGAAAGGTTCACTACGTCTCGTCCTTGATCCACTCTTCACACAGTCCTCCTCATGCAGGGTGCTGCAAGTGAGGTACGTGTGTCTATGTGTACAGTGTCTGAATGGACATCGATGACGTAAAATTTTGCCTTTGTGACCACTTTCTCTTGATCTATCTAAGTTACAGTTATGACAATCACGGTGACCACTTGATGTTCCTAGAGGCAAGTCTCCACTGGTAGATGGTAAGTCCCCGACTCTGGGTGTGTCCACGCGTCTCAGCTGCATCACGAAGAGCACAAGTAATAGTGGTATGCCTTACAATGAGAATAATAAGTACGACCTTCAGGCATCAGTTTTATCTCTGCCTGACGGAAATAACGCTGTGACTAGTGACTCCAGGTTGGCTGTCCCTTCTTATATACTGTACTGCAGTCATCAATGGTCAGGTGCCACTTTGCATTTTAGAGAGCGTTATAAAAACATTTACGGGTCCTAGATACTGTTTTATTTTAAATACATTTATGTTCATATTTTAGATGAATATTACATATTAGAAAATAGTGTACACATTTTATATATCTTTAAATTAACTTGATGAAAATAGTGCCAAACACACATACTGACGTGGCAAATAAGTTGCCAGTTTTCCTGGTGGGGCTCCTGCCACATACTGTTGTTGTTATTGATTACACACACAAACAACATTTGTGTAAACAAATAAATCAAATAGTTTAGGGGCCACCATAAATGTAGTATGGCTCTAGTGATGTACTTGTTGTTCCATAAAGACACGCAACTACACTTACACCATTAAGTGTGCCATCTTTGTGCCTTAGGGTTGTTGACTATAACCCTCCACCAAAGGCGCTTTTCGGCTGTTTTTACAACTCTTTCCAGAAATGTGTTTTCTTCGGGACCACAACTTTTGTTTAGATTCATATCCATCTGTCATCCCCTCCCTCACTCTCCAACCCCCAGTTTTGCCCAATAGTATAGTATAGCGTGTGGAGTATTAATTACAGTACTATATTCATCACTAAATTATTTAATATTCCTTATTATACAAACTTGAAGTATTAATGTTTTGCCAATTATAGTTCCTCTTCAGTTGTTTTCCTGTCATTGTCATTTATTTTTATCAGTCTCCCGTAGTACCATAGTTTAAAGGTGTCCACGTATGGTGTGTAGTGTATGGCGTGGTGTGGTATGGTGTGTGCAGTGTAGTGTGTGTAGTGTATGACATGGTGTGGTATAGTGTGTAGTATGGTGTGGCATGGTGTGTGGTGTGTAGTATGGTATGGTGTGTGGTGTGTAGTATGGTGTGGTATGGTGTGTGGTGTGGTATGGTGTGGTGTGGTATGCAATGTACTGTAGACTAGTCAGGGTGTATAATTATTGTTTGCACAATACGGTAGTCCATGCTGGGGTCACTAGGTTGTAGGCCTATAGTACTGTAGGTGTAAGTAGGACTAGGCCGCAGTGTAGGCTTATACTTGTGTACTGGCCTATATACTGTACATGACATTTAAAAGATTAAAACGTAGCCATAGATTGTAACTATAACGTAATGGAGTTATTTCTTTATTGTTTTACAGTAAAGACTACGCACATCAACAGTCTCTGGTATAAATATAACCTTTGGAGGGAAAGTTAACAATATGGTATCTTGCTTGACTTCCGGCGGGCGAGAAAGGAAAGGAGGTATAATGTACGTATACCGGTACTGTTCTGACTGTACTGTAGGCTAGGTTATGTTCCGGCCACCACTACACCTTCATTCTTTATAGTCTGAGTATTTCTTGTTGGTTTTTGAACATTAATAATAAATAAAAGAAAGTTGTGAGTACAACAACGCTCGCTCGCTTAAATTTAAGTGAAAAATTTCACATATAAAGAAAGTATAATGCTTAAGACAAATTATATCTGCAATTTTATATATATATATATATACTGTATATATATATGTATTCAACACCTCACCCTGCCAGGATTCGAACCCACGATCTTATGATTGTGACCGGGGAACGTTACCTCTGGGCCACCAGGACACTAAAAGCAGCTCTAGACTCTTATATTTCACACAAAGCCTGTTCAACGAGCTTATGGCGCTGTGAACCTCTAATGGGGACTACCCGTGCCGCTCAGGTGATCAGAGTAACGTTTTACCAAATCTGGCTTCGAAACACGAGGATCCATACATATATCATTAGCCCAATAAAGCACGCGGACTTCTCTCACACACTCTTCATTACTTCTCTCCCTCTCTATTCATTACTTCTCTCCCTCTCTATTCATTACTTCTCTCCCTCTCTCTTCATTACTTCTCTCCCTCTCTCTTCATTACTTCTCTCCCTCTCTATTTCATCTATTATCCGGTATATTTTGTCTTTTTTGTTCTCGGCCGTCCCCTCATTGTTATCTCTTCTTGTTCACTATTATCCTGCTGCCCTCTTGTGACTCTTGTAATGTTTTCCTTGTTGTTACAGTCGGTCACCAAAGTTAGATTCATTGTTATGTGTTTCTCGGGTGTTGGTTCCTACACTTGTTTTCTCTGTCACAGTAAATCAGTCAATATGGAATTATTCATTAATGTATTATGGATGGATGGATTGATAAGTCGGGCGAGGCATAAAACATCCATCAGTCAGGTCAGATGAGGCATAAAGCATCCACCAGTCAGGTCAGGCGAGGCATAAAACATCCACCAGTCAGGTCAGATGAGGCATAAAGCATCCACCAGTCAGGTCAGGCGAGGCATAAAACATCCACCAGTCAGGTCAGATGAGGCATAAACCATCCACCAGTCAGGTCAGGCGAGGCATAAAACATCCACCAGTCAGGTCAGGCGAGGCATAAAACATCCACCAGTCAGGTCAGGCGAGGCATAAAACATCCACCAGTCAGGTCAGGCGAGGCAATTTTTTGGTTAAAAAACGGTTGGGGAAAAGGTCCTGACTTATCCGTTATCGTGTTTTTTCCATTTTATTAATTCTTTTGTTTCATCAGCTTTACCTCCAATTTACATTTTTTTCCTCAAGAGTAATCATGACGACTTTCTCTCTTGCGTTTTCCTCAACCCTTCTTAACCCAAGCATTACATCCCGTGACTCAAGTTGCCTGTGCCAGTATCCTTGACTTTTTACACACACACACACACACAGATGTATTGCTTAAGCGCTTTCGTGTATTTAACACATCTTCAGAAACAGATTACACAAGATACTGAGTCAGAGAGAGCTACATGTTGCGTATGTCACACTCTTGAAGCAGCTGACCCTACCCAGGGTCCAGAAGCTAAGCTAGGCGAGGTATTGATATTGAAACAGTTTATTTAGTCAGAAAAATACAGAGACAGAGTGGTAGCATCAACCTAATCCTCAATTCACATCATTCATTTTCATTATGCTGTTTTGCTATCAAACGTGTGCATACCTCTACTTATTTTTACTGTCTGTCAACTGAATTAATGTTGATTCAAACACAGTTTTGTTTACGAGAGAATTACATTTAATAACTGAAGAAGCTACTCCCACTTTTCTGTGATGGCAGGAAGGGTGATGCAAGACTTCTTGAGACAAATGGTAAAACCACTCAAATATTTTTCCTCATTCTGCATGTCAACTATATGTACACAGTGACTCATCGACCCCTATATTGTGATGCTTCAAGGAGCTGCTTCATCTGGTCTAACTGCGTGTTAGGTGGTGTAGGTTGGTAGGTAAGTGTTGGTATACTGTAGGTATGGAGGGAGGGGTTGGGAGGTAGGGGGGAGGTATATAACGAACAGAACAAGAACTCCTACACAGACTCTCACCAGACAACGACGACAACCATACATGGTTCCCCCAAAATGTTACCAAACCTCAAGAAGCTCATTACCACCCCTGATCTACTGTATACGGCCAGGCAATAGACAACCTTCCTAAACCAGCATCCACCGGTAGGGTTGGCAGACTTATGAAATATGACCCGTAAAACACCCATATATGGGTGGGCTGTCTGGTGTCTGTGCCGACAGAGCGACCAGCCAACCAGTAACCAGCTCTTAAGAAAAGCACCCTCAATAACTAACCCATGACACAACTCTAACCCACTACAGTATTAGCTTAACTAACCCGTAGCAAGGCGGTCAGCCCGCCTCCTAAATTTCTTCAAATTCCTAACTCTTACTCCCTTCTCCCCACCTCTACCCTTCTTTCTCTGCACACACAAAAGAGCCAGGTGAGAGGGTGTACCCAGGGACCGACCCCGTTGTCCATTATCTGGACAGTGTGGTGGTGTGTCGCCATATCTAATATCTTACTCTTTCACTTTATCTTATCATGTCTGGATAATGGCGTCTGTTGTCGCTGTGTTGTGACCAATGCCTGTCACTGTGCCCCTTCCCCGTACACCCGCAAAAAAAAAAAAAAAAAAAAAAACACCCGCGGGAGTGGTAGTGTGTGCATGTGTTCATAATGAGGATGTGGCATCCGTATAATTTTCCTGTATTGTTAATGTCCCATGCGAATAATAAGAATATTGTCGGCAATGAAATTTCTGTGGTGTTTTCCTCGTTTACCTTGTGACAAGTTTCACAACGGACTATAATTACGATTATTAAGCGGGATTCCTAATCCACGTTTTCCTCTTTTCACTTTAACTGATTTACTCAACGTACAACACTTATTGAGCGGGGCCCTTATCCAAACTTAATATTTTGAACACACATTCTCCATCACACCCCCCAGAAAATTTGAGTGATTGAATTGATATCAATGTACTGTTAGTGGAAGCAAAGAAAATATACTGGTGGTATACGGTGTTACTGGGTCAAGCCTGTGTTCCGTCTTCACCCTAACATTATCTTATCTACGCCTTCAGCAACACCACTAAGTAGTGGGTGTGGGTGTAGGTGTAGTTGGTGTAGGTGTAGTTGTTAGTGTGGGTGTAGTTGTTGGTGTGAGTATAGTTGTTGGTGTAGGTGTAGTTGTTGGTGTGGGTGTAGTTGGTGTGGGTATAGTTGTTGGTGTAGGTATAGTTGTTGGTGTAGGTGTAGTTGTTGGTGTAGGTGTAGTTGTTGGTGTAGGTGTAGTTGTTGGTGTAGGTGTAGTTGTTGGTATAGGTGTAGTTGTTGGTGTAGGTGTAGTTGTTGGTGTAGATGTAGTTGTTGGTGTAGGTGTAGTTGTTGGTGTAGGTGTAGTTGTTGGTGTAGGTGTAGTTGTTGGTGTAGGTGTAGTTGTTGGTGTAGGTGTAGTTGTTGGTGTAGGTGTAGTTGTTGGTGTGGGTATAGGTGTAGTTGTTGGTGTGGGTGTAGGTGTGGTTGTTGGTGTAGTTGTTGGTGTGGGTGTAGTTGTTGGTGTAGGTGTAGTTGTTGGTGTAGGTGTAGTTGTTGGTGTGGGTGTAGTTGTTGGTGTAGGTGTAGTTGTTGTTGGTGTAGTTGTTGTGTGGGTGTAGTTGTTGGTGTAGGTGTGTAGTTGTTGGTGTGGGTGTAGTTGTTGGTTGGGTGTAGTTGTTGGTGTGGGTGTAGTTGTTGGTGTGGGTGTAGTTGTTGGTGTGGGTGTAGTTGTTGGTGTGGGTGTGGTTGTTGGTGTGGGTGTGGGTGTAGTTGTAGGTGTATTGTTGGTGTGGGTGTAGTTGTTGGTGTGGGTGTAGTTGTTGGTGTGGGTGTGGTTGTTGGTGTGGGTGTAGTTGTTGGTGTGGGTGTAGTTGTTGGTGGGTGTAGTTGTTGGTGTGGGTGGGTTGTTGGTGTGGTTGTTGGTGTGGGTGTAGTTGTTGGTGTAGGTGTGGTTGTTGGTGTAGGTGTAGTTGTTGGTGTAGGTATAGTTGTTGGTGTGGGTGTAGTTGTTGGTGTGGGTGTAGTTGTTGGTGTGGGTGTGTAGTTGTTGGTGTAGGTATGGTTTGGGTGTGGTTGTTGGTGTGGGTGTAGTTGTTGGTGTGGGTGTAGTTGTTGGTGTGGGTGTAGTTGTTGGTGTGGGTGTAGTTGTTGGTGTGGGTGTAGTTGTTGGTGTGGGTGTGGTTGTTGGTGTGGGTGTGGTTGTTGGTGTGGGTGTGGTTGTTGGTGTGGGTGTAGTTGTTGGTGTGGGTGTAGTTGTTGGTGTGGGTGTAGTTGTTGGTGTGGGTGTAGTTGTTGGTGTGGGTGTGGTTGTTGGTGTGGGTGTGGTAGTTGTTGGTGTGGGTGTAGTTGTTGGTGTGGGGTGTGGTTGTTGTTGTGGTGTGGTTGTTGGTGTGGGTGTAGTTGTTGGTGTAGGTGTAGTTGTTGGTGTGGGTGGTTGTTGGTGTGGGTATAGTTGTTGGTGTAGGTGTAGTTGTTGTTGTAGGTGTAGTTGTTGGTGTGGGTGTGGGTATAGTTGTAGGTGTAGTTGTTGGTGTAGGTGTGGTTGTTGGTGTGGGTGTAGTTGTTGGTGTGGGTGTAGTTGTTGGTGTAGTGTGTTGTTGTGTGGGTGTGGTTGTTGGTGTGGGTGTAGTTGTTGGTGTGGGTGTAGTTGTTGGTGTGGGTGTAGTTGTTGGTGTGGGTGTGGTTGTTGTGGTGTGGGTGTAGTTGTTGTGTGGGTGTGTTGTTGGTGTGGGTGTAGTTGTTGGTGTGGGTGTAGTTGTTTGGTATAGGTGTAGTTGGTGGTGTGGGTATAGTTGTTGGTATGGGTGTGGTTGTTGGTATAGGTGTGGTTGTTAGTGTGGGTATGGGTTTAGTTGTTAGTGTGGGTATAGTTGTTGGTGTGGGTGTGGTTGTTGGTGTGGGTGTAGTTGTTGGTGTGGGTGTAGTTGTTGGTGTAGGTGTAGTTGTTGGTGTGGGTGTAGTTGTTGGTGTAGTTGTTGGTGTGGGTGTTGTTGGTGTGGTGTGGTTGTTGGTTGGGTGTAGTTGTTGGTGTGGGTGTAGTTGTTGGTGTAGGTGTAGTTGTTGGGTGGGTGGGTGTAGTTGTTGGTGTAGTTGTTGGTGTAGGTGTAGTTGTTGGTATAGGTGTAGTTGTTGGTGTGGGTGTAGTGTGGGTGTAGGTGTAGTTGTTGGTGTAGGTGTAGTTGTTGGTGTGGGTGTAGTTGTTGGTGTGGGTGTAGTTGTTGGTGTGGGTGTAGTTGTTGGTGTAGGTAGTTGTTGGTATGGTGTAGTTGTTGGTGTGGTGTAGTTGTTGGTGTGGGTGTAGTTGTTGGTGTGGGTGTAGTTGTTGGTGTGGGTGTAGTTGTTGGTGTGGGTGTGGTTGTTGGTGTGGTGTAGTTGTTGGTGTGGGTGTAGGTGTAGTTGTTGGTGTAGTTGTTGGTGTGGTTGTTGGTATGGGTGTAGTTGTTGGTGTGGGTGTGGAGGTGTAGTTGTAGGTGTGGTTGTTGGTGTGGGTGTAGTTGTTGGTGTGGGTGTGGTTGTTGGGTGTGGGTGTAGTTGTTGGTGTGGGTGTGGTTGTTGGTGTGGGTGTGGTTGTTGGTATAGGTGTGGTTGGTGTGGGTGGTTGTTGGTATAGGTGTAGTTGTTGGTGTGGGTGTAGTTGTTGGTGTGGGTGTAGTTGTTGGTGTGGGTGTAGTTGTTGGTGTGGGTGGTTTTTGGTATAGGTGTAGTTGTTGGTGTGGGTGTAGTTGTTGGTGTAGGTGTAGTTGTTGGTGTGGGTATAGTTGTTGGTGTGGGTGTAGTTGTTGGTGTGGGTGTAGTTGTTGGTATAAGGTGTAGTTGTTGGTGTGGTGTAGTTGTTGGTGTAGGTGTAGTTGTTGGTGTAGGTGTAGTTGTTGGTGTAGGTGTAGTTGTTGGTGTGGGTGTAGTTGTTGGTATAGGTGTAGTTGTTGGTGTAGGTGTAGTTGTTGGTGTGGGTGTAGTTGTTGGTGTGGGTGTTGTTGTTGGTATGGGTGTGGTTGTAGGTGTAGGTGTAGTTGTTGGTGATTTGTTGGTGTGGGTGTAGTTGTTGGTGTAGTTGTTGGTGTAGTTGTTGTTGGTGGGGTGTAGTTGTTGGTGTAGGTGTAGTTGTTGGTGTAGGTGTAGTTGTTGGTGTAGGTAGTTGTTGGTGTGGTGTAGTTGTTGGTGTGGTGTAGTTGTTGGTGTAGTTGTTGTGTAGTTGTTGGTGTGGGTGTAGTTGTTGGTATAGGTGTAGTTGTTGGTGTGGGTGTAGTTGTTGGTGTAGGTGTAGTTGTTGGTGTAGGTGTAGTTGTTGGTGTAGGTGTAGTTGTTGGTGTAGTTGTTGGTGGGGTGTAGTTGTTGGTGTGGGTGTAGTTGTTGGTATAGGTGTAGTTGTTGGTGTAGGTATAGTTGTTGGTGTAGGTGTAGTTGTTGGTGGGGTGTAGTTCTTGGTGTAGGTGTAGTTGTTGGTGTGGGTATAGGTGTAGTTGTTGGGGGGTGTAGGTGTAGTTGTTGGTGTGGGTGTAGGTGTAGTTGTTGGTGTGGGTTTGGGTGTAGTTGTTGGTGTGGGTATAGGTGTAGTTGTTGGTGTGGTGAGTTGTTGGTGTAGGTGTAGTTGCTGGTGTGGGTATAAGTTGTAGTTGTTGGTGTGGGTGTGGAAGTGTAGTGTTGGTGTGGGTGTGGGTGTAGTTGTTGGGTGTGGTGTAGGTGTAGTTGTTGGTGTGGGTAGGTGTAGTTGTTGGTGTGGGTATAGGTGTAGTTGTTGGTGTAGGTGTAGTTGTTGGTGTAGGTGTAGTTGTTGGTGTAGGTGTAGTTGTTGGTGTGGGTATAGGTGTAGTTGTTGGTGTGGGTGTAGGTGTAGTTGTTGGTGTGGGTATAGGTGTAGTTGTTGGTGTAGGTGTAGTTGTTGGTGTAGGTGTGTTGTGGGTGTGGGTGTAGTTGTTGGTGTGGGTATAGGTGTAGTTGTTGTGGTGTGGGTATAGGTGTAGTTGTTGGTGTGGGTGTAGGTGTAGTTGTTGGTGTGGGTGTAGTTGTTTGGTGTGGGTATAGGTGTAGTTGTTGGTGTGGGTGTAGTTGTTGGTGTGGGTGTAGGTGTAGTTGTTGGTGTGGGTGTAGGTGTGAGTTGTTGGTGTGGGTGTGGGTGTAGTTGTTTGGTGTGGGTATAGGTGTAGTTGTTGGTGTGGGTGTAGTTGTTGGTGTAGGTGTAGTTGCTGGTGTGGGTGTAGTGTAGTTGCTGGTGGGTGTAGGTGTAGTTGCTGGTGGTGTAGGTGTAGTTGCTGGTGTGGGTGTAGGTGTAGTTGTTGGTGTGGGTGTAGGTGTAGTTGCTGGTGGGTGTAGTGTAGTTGTTGGTGTAGGTAGTTGCTGGTGTGGGTGTAGGTGTAGTTGTTGGTGTGGGTGTAGGTGTAGTTGCTGGTGTGGGTGTAGGTGTAGTTGCTGGTGTGGGGTGTAGGTAGTTGCTGGTGTGGGTGTAGGTGTAGTTGCTGGTGTGGGTGTAGTGTAGTTGTTGGTGTGGGTGTAGGTGTAGTTGCTGGTGTGGGTGTAGGTGTAGTTGCTGGTGTGGGTGTAGGTGTAGTTGTTGGTGTGGGTGTATGGGCGCAAGTGTGGGTTTAAGTGTGAATAACTCCACCCGTAATTACAGAAAATAAACTAAAATACTGTATATAAGAACTACAGAGCTGTAACATTCAGCACTACAATATCCTGACCACTGGGAATTGTTATTGTGTTACTGTACACTACACTCTACCCCTTTTTGCTGCTGTCTGCTGCAATATATAAATAAATTAATAAATATCTGTAGACATATCAAGAGAAGGACTAGACAGTGTAAAATTTATACTGAAACTTTAATTAGATGTATTTTTTCATCCTTAGTTACAGTGACTAACATGAGTGCAGTATATAAAGACAAGTTGTTAAACAGTCAACTAACTACTGTGCCACTCATTTGTACACTTCTTTGATCTACTGTACAGTACCATGATCGTTGGCCAATTGACCAATACCGTCTGAGTACCAATAATTTCTTAACATGCTGTCAATTTTAAGTTGATGATAGTTAAGCTTTGGTTCATCATAATAGTTAATCTTAGGTATACACTCCCATCTTATAAGAATAAGTAAAGGAAGTTAACCTCCTCATAATACCAGGGAAAAGTCCTGAAAAAATCTCAGATCTGCCCTTTTATATAATACTTGAACTTACATTTACTTGAATTTGTTAATGCTGCAGATATGTACAGGAAATCTGGTGATAAGGAAGTAGGATAAAGTTTAGTTTTCCTCCAACTTCAGAGGATAAATCCATTTCTCCTTGTGAAAGGACCTTATCTACACTATTTATTATTGGAACGTCCTGCAGGTGGAGATAAGTGTATCAAGTGTTGGCATCACATACTTCTCCTGCCACTTCCTTATGTCTTACCTGGTAAATATCACGTGATAATGGTGTGTGTTGGCCTTTACGAGTGTTTGTGTTTTCCTTGATTCACTTATCCTTCTTTTTCCCCTCAAACATCCCCCCCCTCCTCCTGCTCCTGCATCCGCTCATGATTGTCCTAGATTTTGTTTTATTTTTTAATTTTTTGGTGTGGTATTTGGTCCTATGTTAGTGGCAGTGTAGTAATAGTACTGTAGTATATTACATGAAATGTTTCAAAATTTTGTGTAAGTGCCCATTGCTGTAAATTCAGCTCTTTTAGTAATAGCCACACCATGGTCATCTACATATTAATACTCTTGCGATCTATAAATTTATTGTGAGAAAATGTTAAATCCTTCTCACCCTTCAAACAATTTTTTTTTTTTTTCAACAGGGCTATCCTGCTTGGGTCACGTGGAGTTGATTTGCCTCACATCAGCAGTCGACTGGAAAAACTTACTACAGCCCGCACCTTGCAGCCCCTAGAAGCTGTTGCTGACACTGATATTGCTGCTTTCCTAAGGAATGAACGTGAGAATGCCATCATCACAGCTATTGAAGATTCTAAACGTCGGGTGTGTATATCACCTTTTTTTCCCACTTCCTTGCAGACTTTAGATATTAATGGAGGACTAACTTGTTATTAACAACCTTATAAGTTACTCTTGACCACTGTACTGTACTGTACTGTAATTATCTTGTAGTGAAAAGGAGTAAATCCAAGTTTTCTTGGATGGCAGTCATATGAATTGTTATATTTATGATTGTATTTCAGGAATTTTCAAGCCTTGTGTATACAATCTGTTACCCTTCTTGTTTCCATTAATGTTTGATTAACCTTCATCTTTTTAATACTTTTAACTGTATTTTGAAAAGTGATATGTTTAGTTATTTCTCAGGACAAACACTATCAAGACACTACAATAGTACAATGGTCCCTCAGTTAACAAGCACAATCCATTCCAGCAGGTTGCTCGTCAACCAAAAATCGCGTTAACTGAAACCATTGTTTCAATGGGTTTTTGGGTAATTGATTCCAGGTTACCGAAAATTGCCTAAATTCAACAAAAAAGGTAGAAAAGTTCACTTACTTTGAGGTGTGTATGTAGAAGGCTCCTGGATGATGATGCTGATCTGAATTTGAAGTGGGAGGTGGAGGAGGAGAAGGGAGAAAAGAAGGAAGTGGAGGTGGAGGAGAAGCATTTTACTGTCAGGAACCTCTGGACTGACAGATTCTCCACCATGAACATCCTCTCTCCTCCTTGAGGTGGAAGGCTGAGGGCTAGCATCATCCTCTCTCCTTCTTGAAGTGGAAGGCTGAGGGCTAGCATCTTGTTCCCTCTGCCTTTTACTGAAGAAAGTGTCAATTGTGGTCTGTGGGGCATCTCTCCTCCTCATCATTAACTTATGTTTAAAGGAGGAGACCATTGTGTCCTCAACATGACACAAAGTTAGTTCATATTGTTCCACATCTGGGTGCCTTGAAGCCAGTTTCCAGAACTTCTCCCAGTAGTAAATAACATCTTTCAACACTGAAGTTGACATATGGTCATCACTTTCCCTTTCCTCCTTACCATTGTCAGCCTCTAACATCTCATCCAGTTGCTTCAAGTCATCAGGAGTAAGTTCCTGTTCATGAGACATCACAAGCTCTTCCACATCCTCCTCCTCCACTTCAAGGCCCAATGACTGACCAAAGGACACAATCTCCTGGTCCAACTCTGTGTCATCCTGAAATCCCTCAAAATCATGGACTACTGATGGCCACAGTGCTTTCCATGAAGAATTGAGGGATCTAGTGGAGTCTTCTTGCCATGATGACACAATCAATTTTACAGCCTCCGGGATGTTGAATTGTGTCTTCCAGAACTGTTTCAGTGTTAGTTCAGGATCAGTGGAAGTTGCCCGATGACACCTTTTAAACATTTTCTTCCTGTACAACTTCTTGAAGTTGCTGGTCACATTCTGGTCCATTGGCTGTATAATTAATGTAGTGTTGGGAGGCAAAAACAACACTTTCACAAAGTCAAATTGATGCTCCAAATTTCTGGCAAGTTCAGGGTCATGACCAGGGGCATTATCCATGAGGAGAAGAGCCTTTAAAGGGAGTTTATTGGTGGTTAGGTAGCTCTTGACAGAAGGGCAAAACACCTCAACAGCCCATTCATTAAAGAGCTGTCTTGTCACCCACGCCTTACGGTTGGACTTCCAATAAACTCCAAGCTTTCCTCTCACCACCTTTTGTTGCTTGAACACCCTGGGGTTTTCAGAGTGGTAGACAAACATAGGCTTCAGTCGGAAATCCCCTGAAGCATTGGCACCAAGCAATAGAGTGAGACGGTCTTTCATGGGTTTATGCCCAGGTAAAGAGGCTTCATCTCTGGTGATGAATTTTCTTTTGGGCATCTTTTTCCAAAACAGCCCAGTTTCGTCCACATTGAAGACTTGCTGTGGAAGATAATTTTCTTCTTCCATCAGTTCTTGAAACTCCACTAAAAACTTTGCTGCCCCTTCCTTATCAGCACTAGCAGCTTCACCATGCCTAACAACACTGAAAATGTCACTTCTTTTCTTAAAATTTTCGGACCAGCCTTTGCTGGCCCTAAAATCTTCAAATTCTGTTCCTGAAGAACCAGGTTGATCTGTCTTTAAATGTTCGTAAATCTCCCTGGCTCTTTCATAAATGAATTCAGTAGAAACTGAATCACCTTTCATCTGTTTTTCCCTAATCCAGATGAGAAGTAACCTCTCAGTTTCTGCAATTAGGGATCTACCTTTAAACACTGGTAGATTTGTCTCTCACTTTCACTTCTTTAAATTTTTCTTTCTGTGCAAGAATTGTCGACACAGTTGATGTCGACATGCTATATTCTTTGCATAGCACATTTGTTCTAATGCCTTGTTCATGTTTTTTTTCATAATTTCCTGCTTAGTTTGGATTGAAATCACTTTTCTTGATCTCTTAGGCCCCATGCTGGATTAAAAAATTCTCAACTCCCTGATTTTTAAAGTTTAAACTTGCTGTAAATAAAGAATATTTTCTTTAAAATAACACTGCACTGCGCTATATATTGTCAATATGTAAAATAAATTTCAAAATGACCAATAATTTGCTTGGAAACACAGAAAAAAAGCATTTAATTGAAGAGAGTTCTCAAGCAAGATGTTACCTCCACTGAAAACAGAGAGAGACTATCACCTGTATGGTGTGTTAACAGGCTGGATGGCGCACCAGAAACTAGTTTCTTTACCTTCAATTATGTTCAATAATTGTTAAAATGACTAAAAAATTTAATTTTAAACTTTTAAAATTATTGAATAGTATAAACTTCTTGATATTTACTAAAATAGTAAAGAATTTAAGCACGAGATCCGATTACTGTATTGGTGGACTAATACTACAGCTGGTTGACTGCCCAGTGCAAGCGAAAACATGTTCAGGTAGGCTCGTAAGAAACGCGTTAATCTAGGGATTGCTCGTTAACCGAAGTTAAGAATCGTATGGAAGGTAACTCGTTAACCGAGGGACCACTGTACAATTGGTCCCTGTACCTTCAGTTTGATATCTCAAATGACTTGGCATAATTTTACCATTCCCAGTATCCTTTAAACATTTTTTCTTGGATCACTGAGTTAACTAATTTATAAGCTAGCATATGAACCTTGAGTTAGGACAACCAACGTCAGTATTTAGATAGTGTTCATTATCATGGCAGGTGTGGTGCAAAATATATATACGGGTATATATTTTTTTATGAACATTTAGTTAATGATTTTATCTTTGAAATTTGTTTTCTTTATTATGAACAATATTATGTTATTTTTAACAACTTGTTATCTTAACTACCTAATTTAATCAGTTTAGAATTCAAAGGTCTGTACAGGTATTTACATGGTATGTACTGTTTGGGGTTTTGAGATATTGGTTCACACTCAGGATGGGTTGGAGAAAGAAAATTCACAATGTGCCCTCTGTATACATATTGTATTGGATGTACAATGCAGCTTGGTGCTGGGTAGTGCAGCGTGGTACAGGCGTGCAGTAGAGAGAGCTGGTTGGGGAGCGTGCTCAGAGGAGGACACGCAGCTTATGGGGCGCCATAGTCGCCGGCGAGAGCGAGAGCCACCAGGCAGGAGTAGAGGAAGTGTTGCTTGCTGGTGGCTGTAGGTAGAAGAAGGGGCAGGTCACGGCAGGGTGAGGTCTTATATAGCGGGGGTAGGCCTGGCTTGATAGCTGACCTCTGCTCTGTTAGGCGGCACTGGTTGCCGACCTTAGACCACGAGGCGTAAGCTGGGGAATTTGAAGAGGGGTCGGCTAGTCAGTGACAAACGACGGTTGTAGGGGAGGTATCCATTACAACTGTACTGGATGTACAGTATGTATGTGTGTCACTCAAGCATGTGAGTTAATTGCAGACAAGTGAGGAGGTGGACAAGCTTTATTGGAAACAGCAACAGGCTGAGTGGGAACAGAAGAAGCAGGACCTGCTCTCAGCCTTCACTCACTCGGGAACAGACCTCCTCAACATCACTGTTCAGCAACAGGTACAGTATTTATAATGACCATTTTATAAAGAGTATAATCAAGTATAAACACCACATATTCATGTAAAGGTATAGTTTAAGATAAACATTACGGGGAGGTAGTGTGCTTGGCAGAAGAGCTTTTCAGCTGAGTGGCAATTGAAATACTGTACAGTACTGTGCAGGTATTTTTATTCAGGCTGTTCACTTATATATATATATATATATATATATATATATATATATATATATATATATATATATATATATATATATATATATATATATATATATATATATATATATATATATATATATATATATATATATATATGTATGTATATATATATGTGTATGTGTATGTATGTATGTATGTATGTATGTATGTATGTATGTATGTGTGTATGTATGTATATGTGTATGTATGTATGTATGTATGTGTATGTATATATATATATATATATATATATATATATATATATATATATATATATATATATATATATATATATATATATATATATATATATATATATATATCAAAGGGTGGGGAGAAATTTTTGTCAAAGTCTCATTGAGAATTTGTGTAATTATGTAAGTGCATAAACAGATAAAATTGTGTTAACACGATATTTTACAAATAATTTTCTCTCGATTTTGTTAAGATGGGAAAATGGGAAAGAATGAAACTTTCTTGTGGAAGAAATGTTTACTAATACAGTATAATATTTGTATTGTACAGTACGTACATCAAAAATATAATTTATTCTTCATGGTAATCATGATATGTACACACACACACACACACACTATGATACAATGATATGAGTTATTAAGGATGTCACCTAGTTTGATGAGTTCTGAGGTAACTAAAGAGGCCGATACAGGACCGGCAGGGTTGATCACAGATGTTGCACTTGTGGGGGGCTACATCTAGTGCGGGAGGGATGGCGGCAGTGTCTTTCTGCCGTTGGCGCTTGTCTGCCTGCAGTCGGGCTAACTCGAAAGTTTTGACACCTTCTTGTATGGTGATCCTCCAAGATTTACGGTGTGGAGTAATCGTCTCCCAGGTGAGGAGGTCGATTTGGCACTTTTTCAGGTTGTCACACACACACACACACACACACACACACACATCCTACATAGAGAGAGAGAGATCCTTCATCATCTATCACTAGCTATAGAGATATCAGGTTCAACTGAGCGGCTCTTCTGCCAAGCACACTACCTCCCTGTAACGTTTGTCTTAAACAACACCTTTTTGTGATTATGCGGTGTCTATACTTAATTCTACTTTTAAGAAAATGTTCATTATTTTCCGTTACTTAATATGTTTGGTGTCATTTTTTTTTATATACATAATAATTAGTGAAAAGAGAAGAAGTGGTGGTGAATGTGTTTTCAGAAAGAGTAAATTTATTTATTGTTTCGATGGTAAATATTCTTAATTGAATTTTTGGGTTTCCACTCATATCTTGAAAGTTAATATTTTCAAGCACTTATGTCTTTACAGACATTAAATTCAGCATTAAAGTGAACCAGAACTGGGTGTCCTTAACAGTTACATATGGATTTATTTGTGATATATCAATACTGCAGTAATCAAGCATTAAGTGTGAGCGAATGAGCTACAAGGGGGGCAGCAGAGCTTGTACTATCAACTAAAAAAAAAAAGTTTCTATAGTTTGGGTTGATATGCATTCTTCACTGCATTATATGTAGAGCTATCATGTGTATGGCCCTAGCAGAATAACACTCCTCACCTAGGAGGATGTCTCTCTTCATTACTATTTTATCCTGCTCAGGGGGAAACCCATAGACAAGGGGTTAATAGTTGTAAATATTCTCGGTGACTTGTATGAGCAGTGGAGAAATTTTGTATTTTAATGTTCCTTAATTTACAGGATAGTGTTGTCAGTGTACCACGTACTGTGGCAGGCACACGTAGCAGCCTGAGCAGTGAGGAAATGTTATATGTCCGAGTCATCCGCCAATATAACGAGGAAGTTCTCCAGTGTGGAATACGACCCAACTTGGCCGAATCCCTTACCAGTACTGCATCCTCCATGGGTGATCAGGTTAGTTTGTACTGTATTGTATATAGACTTTGTCTTTTGCATTCTTAAGTTTTTGTAGATGCTGTACTGTATTAACCCTCTTGAGCTCGCAATAAGTTTTTTAAGTTTCCCTGATGGCAGCAGAAATCATTGGGCCACTCACATGAGGTCTGGTCATCTTCGTGATGCAACCAATTTATCCCACAAGAAGTAATTTTCTTTTTCATGATTTATACATCACTCGTTTTGTTATTGTTTTGGCTTTGGTTTGAGCAGAAAAAAAGTTGAGAATAAGACTTCGTATATTTTTTCATTACGAATAAAAAAAAAAAAATATATTTGTGTTCCCAACATCATATCCCTAATACTTTTCTCACAAACCTACCAAAGTATTATATAGTTATAAAAGTGGAATATTTTAAGCTTTACATTGGTGACATGGTAATTTTGATGCAACTATTTATAGGGAGGGTGGGAGAGTAGAAAAAGGGACAAATATACATGTAACCTACCAGCACAGCTGCTTGGAGGAAGCTGATGGACAGTTGAACTCCACCAGCATTATGGTACTACAGTACTTTCTGGAAGGTTCACTTGTAAGATAATTCATTCATCTATGTCATGCAGGGTTGGAAAAATCTAAATAATAATTGAATTTTTTATTTATTTTTACTAAAATCTGATATATATATTTTTTTTACCCAAATATTCACATTTCATTCTTTTATACAATAATGCAGGCCTCTTTCTTTGTACAGGCATCCCCCGTGTTACGGAAGGGTTCCGTTCCCGGAAAATTGACCGTATCGCAAAATTCCGTAACGCGAAACCTATTTTCCCATTGACTTCCATTATAAAACTGGAGATTCGTTCTTAAGGAATTTTTTCGGCTAAAAAAAGTAATTCAAGCACTTTTATTCATGAAAATAAACATTTACAAACACATACAATACAGTACATTAAATAATTTATGATATACCTTCTTAAAACACCAATTTATGGGTTAATATTGCATAATATTGCATTATACAGCTATGTGTATGTTTATTTGAGTGCCCCGTCATAGGAGTCCGTTTCTCTCACTTCAAGGCCGCCTGAGTCGTCCGTTTTCTCTTAATCTTAAAAGTGCACCAGGGACTACTGTATTATTTTTTTGTGGTGACACAGAATTTGATATTGCAACTGGGGTTGCAATTGTTGAGGCAACTTAGGTATGTCTGATTACAGTTGGAATATTCAAGATCCATTGTGAGTGATGTTTAAAGCTTCAACTGTCTTTATGGTTGGTAAAACTTGTCAAGTCTGTCAGATTATTTTATTTAAAATAAAAATAATTTTGATTACAGTATGGTCTGGATTTACGTGGATTTTGTTTACGCGTTTGGTCACTTACGCTGTGCCTTGCCAGAATGAAATGTTTTAATTACGCGGTAAATTTCATCATTTACGCGGGAAGCGGTGCGGGCAGGGTGCGCACAAGGTCGCCCAGTCATCAAAACAATACTACTACTACTACTACTAATAATAATAATAATAATAATTATTAATGGTTTATTTAAAGAGCATAGCAGCCAGAAGGCTGAAAATATACAGTTACATAATTGGGGAATGGGTTTCGATTTACAAATAATATACAAGTAACATAAGTGATACAAATAAGATATATAATAACTAGATGGGGAAAAGCTCAAACTACAGGGTATTTCAACATAGTGACAGTGCAAGAAGTAGGATTTACTGGGAGTGAATACACTGGTTTATTACAAGTTATTGATAATTTTTACAATGGTTGGGACTAGGCTGTTCTTATAGCGAGTTTTTTACCCGCCACCCACCACAGCCGGCCCATGCGGCCCAAGTCAGTGATAGTGAGGATATGGACTTTGAGGGGTTTGACAAAGAGGCCCTGCAAGCCTCTGTGGTGGATAGTGATACAATTGATACAAGTGATACAGGTGAGGGCCAATAATCTGCCCTCTGCCTCGGAACCAACCCCCCATACCCATGTGCCCAGCCATCGTTTCTACTAAAGTAAGTGTTAAAAAACCTAATATTATTGACATTTCTCTTAAATATTAATTGTGTGTGCATACCATCATAAAATTAAGATGTTATTTTTACTACAATGTATGTATTGTGTCGGAAAAAGTGTAGTTTGGGGGGTCGGCCCAATCTCTATTTCAATTAATCCCATATGTTCTGTTATTTCGTTTACGCGTTTCTCGTTTTACACGGACCTCCACGGATTCAATTGACCGCGTAAATGCAGACTATGCATTACTGTATAATTAACGATTTTTTTCTAATTATAATCAATTGAAATCACTTGATTAAAATCGTTTGATTTTAATCATCCCAACCCATAAGAAAATTTTACACAATTATCTTGAAAACTTTTTTGGGGGACAAATTTTTTAAGTTTAATGACGCGATTTGTGTCACCTATGCAAATAGAGCTACTCCATGATTTGATGCAATTCACGTCATAATGCGCGAGAAGGCTTAAGTATAAGAGAAATTAAATGATAAATAGTTTATGAATTCTCTTCTTGTTTTGCAATGGTAACATAAGGCAGTGTTTGCCAATACTGTACAGTACATTATAATGGTTGAGGACTGAATATTACAAGGTACTGAAGTACTGTTACTGTACTGTAGTGAAAATAATAAAGATAAAATATAAAGAATTACTAAATACATACTCATGACACCATGATTACAGTAATATCTCTGTTAATGAATTGGATGCATTCCATGACTTCGTTTAGTTGTCAGAAACTTTGTTACCAGTACTACGTTCAGTTGGGCAATACAGTACAATGTACTGTACTGAACAGTTGATCAGCTGATCTCTGGCAAACATAAACATATAAAAATGCTGAAGCTAAATATAATTTATTAAATATCTGCTGGTGTTTCATTCTCTGCTGATTAGTCAATAGAATTAATAAATCATCACATTACTTCAAGTATTAGATTAATTATAGCTGTTGTTGATTATAATTTGTTAAATAACTGCTGGTGATTTTTACCCCACTGTGAGGTAATTTATTTATTTTTTATTATTATTTATCATTTCACCTATTATCAGCTTACTAGCAGTTCAAGTGTTCATACAGGAGGAAACCTGTGATGTTTGGTAGTCACACTGGATAACACCCTTCTTGTGTGTCCTGGCCACGCAGGAGTAGTGGATGAGTGAAACAAGTTGCCAAACATCATCATTAACTTAAATATGCTGGATAACTTCAAACATAGATTGGATGGATATATGAGCAATAGGGGTTGGGTGTAAATGGGACTGCCCAGTTTTGGCCAATAGGCCTGCTTTAGTTTCCTCCATTCTTATGTTCTCATGTTCAATGGTGAGAGATAACGAACATTACCGCTGTAACACCACCAACATTATGGTAATTTTGGTCAGGTACCAACACCACTGTTAATTAGCTATGTTTTTAATGAAATTGCCTCAATCTACAACATAATCATGTGAAAAAATTTGATTTGCAGAACGAACACAAGTAGGCACTTGTGGCCACCACCATCATTTATATTTATAACCAAATCACGCTATGAAGCGATGCACCTCCAGCTGTGGCTCACCTCGCACCCAGAAAGTGTGTGTGTGTGCAGCTGTGAGGGGGTAATTGAAGATTTTTGGCATGCTTGTGATTGTGCTCCTGATTGGTTTATTAATAAATACTTATAAAAGTTTTCACTGATTGATTGATGATTTAAGCAAACACCACTCACTCTGGTATGTTTACAGTGCATGTGAAACTTTAGATGTTTTGAAATACCGTAAGATCTTCATTGTAATAATAATAAATAATAATTAACGGTTTATTGAAAGAGCTTGGCAGCCAGAAGGCTGAAAATATACAGTTACATATTTGGGGAATGGGTTACGAATTACAAATAATATACAAGTAACATAAGTGTTTCAAATAAGATATATAATAACTAGGTGGGGAAAAGCTCAAACTACAGTGCATTTCAACATAGTGACAGTGCAAGAAGTAGTATTTACTGGGAGTGAATACACTGGTTTATTACAAGTTATTGATAATTTTTACAATGGTTGAGACTGGGCTGTTCTTATAGCGATCAGTTTGTGCACGTATGGGCGTCTGTGTGTGCGTGCGCATGTGTGCAAATGTGTTTAAACAAGAATTTACCATTGCCATATGAAGAATTCTAGAATGCTTGGGGTATTTTTTAATGCCAGGGTTATATACCGGCACAGGTTAAGCGTCTCCCGCATGTTAAATTTTCTTGCACGTGTGAACTGTCCCATTGAACTTCATTAATTTCTAAACCACTACCTAGGTTCTTGATTTTCTACTTTTTCCCGTTACATATATCTCCGTAATGTGGGAAAATAAATAAAATAAAAGTTTGTATTCTTAAATTTATTTGCTAATTATGTACAATAATGGTATATTAAGTAGAAGTGATATTCCTGGGAATGCTTAATAGAGGGTGAGTGGAGTGTCGGCTAACTGCAGCATTCACGCTATGTAAACAAAGCAGCGTGTATTTAGGGTGATGCAGTAACTGTTAGGGGGTTTGGTCTTTTTTTTTTTTTTTCTCATAGAGAATGTACGGTATCTCCAATTACAGTATATAATGGCAATCGGGTCTATGTCTCGGGTATTATTATTACTGTACAGGTTATTAGAGATGTTGGCTTAATGTTTCCATTGTCAAGCAGTTTCTCTTAACCCCTAGTTCCCGGGTGACGTTCCAGAACGTCCGACCAGCGCGCCCCGGGTGATGTTCCATAACGTCCGCCTATTCCCGCCAATTTTTTTATGTTTTATTTTGGGGGTGATTTTTTCGATTTATCCCTCACATGGGGGGTGGTACTGCCAGCAGCACCCTAACCTGGGGCTTTTGAGGGTTAAGTATGGTTATGAAACTATTACTGGACTGCATGCTTTTCACTTAATTTGTTTAGGATTGGCTTGTAATTATTTTGTACACCAAAATAATCTATGAAAAATCATTTATTTTAGCATTTAGTGGTACAATATTAAAGATGTTTTTGAGAATTCCACTCTGTTCTTGATTTTGTCCACCCAGAAGTTTAGCTGGAGGAAAATATTAATGTGTTTTAATACTCTTTGAATAGGGTATATTGGATTTGTGGGCACTGGTGAAGTGCCTTAGTGAAGTGCCAGTGAGTGTCGGTGGTGATGCAGCTCAGGCCCGGGGCTCTCCTAGGGTACAAGCTGCATTGGTCAAGCAAGCTCGAGGCCATCTGGAGAACTCGTGAGTATTAAACTTTTTGTTAAAAGTATCATCACTAATCTTCAGTTGTTTTATGTCTTTGCTTCATTCTTCAGTTCCCATCATTCAAAAATATTCATTCCTCCTTTTACACATTTCTTCCTCTCTCAGTGGCAGTTGGTCATCATGGTCCTTTGCAATTTTACTCTTCATAGAGATCTACGTTTTTTTTTTTTTTTTTTTTACGGGAATTAGCCCACCCGGGCACAGGTCAAACGACCCACAACGGAGCCTGGGGGGCGAAAAAAAAGAACGGAAAGAAATTGAAAATATAGAAAAAAAGGTTATACTGTATTAATCTACACCACGAAGATGCCGGAAAACCAGCTTTTTAAAGTGAGACAGATTGTAAGAGCATGGAAACACAGAAGAAGGCAGAGCATTCCACAGTTTGGCTGTGTGAGGAAAGAAGGAGGTACTATAACGGGTTATTCTCGTGTGACCGGCATCCACAGAGAAATGGTGGGCACCGCGGGCAAGACGTGTGTTACAAACCCACGGCCTTGCCGGCGGCACACAGGATGCCAAATCAAATCCACTGAACATTGCCCGTTAAAGTACCTGTAAAAGAGAGTGAAGCAACATTGCGCGAAGAGAAAGGGGAGAGAGATTGTCGACTAAAGGAGGAGAGTTAATAAGACGAAATGCCTTTGATTCCACCCTATCTAATAGTTGGAGAGAAGAAGAGCCACCCCAGATATGAGAGCAGTACTCTAAGTTAGGACGAATGAATCCCTTATATACTTGGAGCAACTGCTCAGAAGTGAAGTAGCTGCGGCATCTGTACAGCATTCCCAACTTTCGGGAGGCAGCTTTAGTTATACTAAGGATGTGTGATTTCCAGGACATATTGGAGGAAATGGTGAGGCCTAACATATTTATATCAGAATTTGGGAGGATGATAGCGTCCTGAAATGTAATTGGTGGGGGATCGTCTAATTTACAAAGTGTAATTGGTAAATATTGAGTTTTGTTACTATTGAACTTAACCAAGTTTGTATCTCCCCATTCAGAGATGCTGCACAGATCCGCGTTGATAGAAGTAATGATATCAGTTCTAGAAACAGATCTAGTTTGAGAGTTAGGAGGAAGGGGGAAATGTGAGGAAGAGTGAAGAGTAGAATCATCGGCGTAAGAATGGATAGAATTAGTTGTAGTGTGAAGTAAATCATTGATAAAAAGAAGAAAGAGACTTGGTGAAAGAACAGAACCCTGTGGGATGCCACTATTGGTAGAGAAAGAGCGAGAAATCGATTCCTTGACAACAATTGCCATGGATCGATTCTCAAGGAAGCTAGAGATGAGAGAACAAAGTGGGGGAGAGAAACCAAAAGAGGGAAGTTTAGATCGCAAAGACTTGTGCCATACCCTGTCAAATGCTTTGGAGATGTCGAGGGCCACGACAAAAGTTTCCCCATAATCCCTAAGAGAGGATGACCAAAGATGGGTGCAATAGGAGAGCAGATCACCAGTAGATCTCGCCTGGCGAAAGCCATACTGGTGATCTGACAAAAGAGAGAGGCGTTCAAGGTGGCGGAGAAAATGGGAGTTCAAGATAGTTTCGAAAATCTTAGAGAGGGATGAAGTTAGGGCAATGGGGCGATAGTTAAAGGGATTAGAATGGTCGCCCTTCTTTGGGATGGGCTGAACCAAGGCATGCTTCCAAGAAGGAAAAGTTCTGGTTTTGAGGCAAAGGCGAAAGAGGCGAGCAAGCACAGGGGCCAGGGCTTCAGCACACTCCCTCAGAACACGAGGGGGTATTCCGTCCGGTCCATGTGCCTTACTCACATCCAACCTGGATAACACACCGGCAACCCTGCGAGTGGAGATTATAGGAAAGTGCATAGGTTCAGTAGGAGGTGCAGGGGTAGGAGGGGTAGATTGGGAATTGTCTAAGGTGGAATTAGAGGAGAATAAGGTGCCAAAGAGGTTGGCTTTCTCAGGGGGAGAGTTGGCTATAGAGTTATTGAGACGGAAGAGGGGAGGAAAAGAAGGCGTGCAGAAGTTGTTACAGATGTTTTTAGCTAAGGACCAGTAGGATTAACTAGAGGAAGAATTAGTCAGGACAGCAGTCTTTCTTTTAATAAAATTCCGCTTGGCCCTACGAAGAATAGCCTTACAACGATTCCTAGAAGTAATGAAAGAGGTGTGGATAATAGGAGAAGGAGATAGTTTCATACCTCGATATGCCCTATCTCTCACCCTGCAAGCAAGAGAGCAGGAGCGATCAAACCATGATTGTAATGTGAAAGTTTTGGTAGAAGATGGGATAAATGCACTCATACTGCCCTGTATAACCCCAGCAATGCTGTCAGCACATACCGGGGCATCCCGAGTGGAAAAGCAACATTCATCCCAAGGAAAGTCGGTGAAGAATTCTTGCAAGGATTGCCAGCTTGCCCTCCGATAGTGCCATAGTTGACGTTTAGAGGGGGGTGGTGGAGGTGGTCGTGCCCAGTTTGATTTAATAGAAATAAGGTTGTGATCAGAAGACCCTAAGGGGGCAAAAATTGAGTATGAATAGTGTGAGGGGTTAGAGGTAAAACAAAGATCAAGAATGTTAGCAAGTTGATCGTGTCGATCAGGAACGCGTGTAGGGTGTTTGATTATTTGTTCCAAATCATTAAGTAAGGAAAAAGAGAGTGCCTCAGCTCCACCTGGGTCATCCCTTGCAGAGCCAAGCCACTCTCTGTGATGTACATTGAAATCCCCTAGGTAGAGTATCTCGGTGTTGGGGTGTGTGGATAGCAACGACTCATGGCAAGAAGTGAGATAGTCAAAGAGTTCGAAATAGTTGGTAGAGTTGGGAGAACAGTATAGGAAACAAAGAAAAATAGTCACAGTAGGTAGAGATATTTTGAGCCAGATGACATCATAAAGGGTAGATTCACGATCCGTGAATCGGGCTATAGGTGTACGTGTATTGCAGTAGGCGCATACACCTCCCTTAGAACGGAAGGAGGTATAAAGGTTGTAGTTAGAGACTTGAAAAGGTTTGGGTGAAGCTGCTTTGGTCAGTTGAAATTCGGAGAGTAGTAAGAGATCGGGGGAAGAGGTTAATAGATGGTGCTCCACAGAAGAATAATTGGATCTCAGTCTGCGAATGTTGGATAAATGAAGTGTGAAAAAAGCCGATCCTCCAACAACCGTAGTGGCGTCAGTTGAGGCCCCAGTAGCTTGATGATGATCAGGTCGCCCTGGGGTCCACAACCTTCCCGACCAGTGGGACCCATCCGAGAAGGCCCCGCTTCAGTATTAATATCAACTGACATAGGAGAAAAAATAGAATGAATAAAACAGATCAGGAATGAGTACGGTTTTAGTTGTGGTGTTGTCAATAGTAAGAGAGACAGTTGAGACCCTGCAATTGTGTGTAAATGAGGCAGAAAGATAGATCAGCAACCTGGGACTTGGTCACAATTTTCGTGATGCCATATAGCAGCAGGGTCTACCATTAGACAAGTGTTTGCCATTTTCCAGAATTACAGTCAATATTCTCTTAGACTTTTTTATATATATATATATATATATGCAAGTAAATCACTGTAGGTGTGCGTGATCTAGGTATATGCTGATAACCACAAGGAAAGAAGAAAACACAGTGGTACACAGTGGTCCCTCGGTTAACGAGCACACTCCGTTCCAGAAGGTTGCTCGTTAACCGAAAAACTCTTTAACCGAAATCATTGTTTCAATGAGTTTTTGGGTAATTGGTTCCAGCTCACGGAAAATTGCCTAAATTCAACTAAAAAGGTTGAAATCTACACTTACTTTGAGGTGTGTATGTAGAAGGCTCCTGGATGATGATGATGATGATGATGATGATGTGAATTTGAAGTGGGAGGTGCAGGAGGAGAAGGGAGAAGAGAAGGAAGTGGAGGTGGAGGAGAAGCATTTTACTGCTTCTTGGAAGGTGAGTCACCTTCCATGAAAATGTCAGGAACCTCTGGACTGACAGATTCTCCACCATGAACATCCTCTCTCCTCCTTGAGGTGGAAGGCTGAGGGCTAGCATCATCCTCTCTCCTTCTTGAAGTGGAAGGCTGAGGGCTAGCATTTTGTTCCCTCTGCCTTTTACTGAAGAAAGTGTCAATTGTGGTCTGTGGGGCATCTCTCCTCCTCATCATTAACTTATGTTTAAAGAAGGAGACCATTGTGTTCTCAACATGACACAAAGTTAGTTCATATTGTTCCACATCTGGGTGCCTTGAAGCCAGTTCCCAGAACTTCTCCCAGTAGTAAATAACATCTTTCAACACTGAAGTTGACATATGGTCATCACTTTCCCTTTCTTCCTCACCATTGTCAGCCTCTAACATCTCATCCAGTTGCTTCAAGTCATCAGGAGTAAGTTCCTGTTCATAAGACATCACAAGCTCTTCCACATCCTCCTCCTCCACTTCAAGGCCCAATGACTGACCAATGGCCACGATCTCCTGGTCCAACTCTGTTTCTTCTTCAAATCCCTCAAAATCATGGACTACTGATGGCCACAGTGCTTTCCATGAAGAATTGAGGGATCTAGTGGAGACTTCTTGCCATGATGACACAATCAATTTTACAGCCTCCAGGATGTTGAATTGTGTCTTGACCAGAACTGTTTCAGTGTTAGTTCAGGATCAGTGGAAGTTGCCCGATGACACCTTTTTAACATTTTCTTCATGTACAACTTCTTGAAGTTGCTGGTCACATTCTGGTCCATTGGCTGTATAATTAATGTAGTGTTGGGAGGCAAAAACAACACTTTCACAAAGTCAAATTGACACTCCAAAGGTCTGGCAAGTTCAGGGTCATGCCCAGGGGCATTATCCATGAGGAGAAGAGCCTTTAAAGGGAGTTTATTGGTGGTTAGGTAGCTCTTGACAGAAGGGCAAAACACCTCAACAGCCCATTCATTAAAGAGCTGTCTTGTCACCCACGCCTTACGGTTGGACTTCCAATAAACTCCAAGCTTTCCTCTCACCACCTTTTGTTGCTTGAACACCCTGGGGTTTTCAGAGTGGTAGACAAACATAGGCTTCAGTCGGAAATCCCCTGAAGCATTGGCACCAAGCAATAGAGTGAGACGGTCTTTCATGGGTTTATGCCCAGGTAAAGAGGCTTCATCTCTGGTGATGAATGTTCTTTTGGGCATCTTTTTCCAAAACAGCCCAGTTTAGTCCACATTGAACACTTGCTGTGGAAGATAATTTTCTTCATCCACCAGTTCTTTAAATTCCACTAAAAACTCTGCTGCCTGTTGCCCCTTCCTTATCAGCACTAGCAGCCTTACCATGCAGAACTACACTAAAAATGTCTCTGCTTTTCTTAACTTTTTCGAACCAGCCTTTGCTGGCCCTAAAATCTTCAAATTCTGTGCCTGAAGAACCAGGTTGATCTGTCTTTAAATGTTCGTAAATCTCCCTGGCTCTTTCACAAATAAATTCAGGAGAAACTGAATCACCTTTCATCTGTTTTTCCCTAATCCAGATGAGAAGTAATCTCTCTGTTTCTGCAATTAGGGATCTACTTTTTAACACTCTGGTAGATTTGTCTCTCACTTTCACTTCTTTAAATTTGTCTTAATGTGCAAGAATTGTCGACACAGTTGATGTCGATATGCCATATTCTTTGCATAGCGCATTTCTTCTAATGCCTTCTTCATGTTTTTTTATAATTCCTGCTTGGTTTGGATTGAAATTGCTTTTCTTGATCTCTTAGGCCCCATGCTGATTTTAAAACAATCTCAAGACGTGATATTTTAAGTTTAAACTTGGTGTAATTCAAGATTATTTTCTTTGAAATAACACTGCACTGCACTATATATTGTCAATATGTAAAATAAATTTCAAAATGACCAACAATTTCCTTGGAAACAGAAAAAGAGCATTTAGTTGAAGAGAGTCTCAAGCAAGATGTTACTTCCACTGAAAAGACAGAGACTAACGCCTGTATGGTGTGTTGGTAGGCTGGATGGCGTGCCACAAACTAGTGACCCTACCTTCAATTATGTTCAATAATTGTTAAAAATGACTAAAAAATTTAATATTAAACTTTTAAAATTATTCAATAGTATAAACTTCTTGATATTTACTAAAATAGTAAGGAATTTAAGCCCTAGATCCGATTACTGTATTGGCGGACTAATACTACAGCTGATTGACCGCCAAGTGCAAGCGAAAACATGTTCAGGTCGGCTCGTAAGAAACTCGTTAATCGAGGGATTGCTCGTTAACCGAAGTTAAGAATCTTATAGGAGGTAACTCGTTAACCGAAATCTCGTTAACCGAGGCGCTCGTTAACAGAGGGACCACTGTACTGTATAAAAGTGAAATGAAGACAGGCACTACTGCATTGTAAAGGTCACTCTGTAATATAAGACTTAATGTATATTTGATTGTTCTACTTAAGAATATTTTTACATTAAATCCTAACACAGCATACTTATTAATATTTTATTTTTAATATTATTATTGTTGTTATTATAAATTTGTAATTATTTTTTCCTCCTTCATAGTTATGCCACTCACATGAAGCGTATGGTATACTCTAACTTAGAACGTGCACAGTTAGGAGGTATTCCTGGTTTAGTGCCTCTGGTGCGGGCGTACTTAGAAGTAGTTCTACCGCCTCAAGTTGCCTCTTCCTTAGAGGATGGCCAAGCTAATGGTGCACCAGTTTGGCCTCTCATCTTTTATTGCATGAGAGCTGGAGGCAGCAAGTCTGCATGTCTTGCTGCAGCAGAAAACAGGTAATTATAATCTTGCCATGATTTACACATTGACTAGTCTTTCATATGTACTGTATGTGGAATATTAGGTCAAGACAAAAATGTGAAAGGTATTCCATAATTTCTGCCATTTAAATTGAACTTTTTCTCCCCCAAAACTCACCCTGCATCCTACAAGCTGAAGGTTGACCCTAGGGGGATGTGGGTGCCATCATAAAATATATTTGGGTACTTCATGCATTTGATCCCTCTACTATGTCCTGTGCGGTTCCCTAGTGCCGCTCCGTAGATTCTCCCTGAAGGTCAAGTTTGTCAGTATTTTAACAAGAGGAAGGACTTACTCCCTCCCTTTGTGGTTCATTCTCTTTTTTTATATTTTAGAGCATGCCTTCTCTCACAGAGGGACTTTCCCTGCTTACACCGGTAGCTTTAAGTTGGATGCAAGGGTGGGTTTTGGGGTGGTGTTTTCCGAATTCTGTTGGGACGGTATTCTCCCCACTAATGCATCTATTTTTATAGCAGAGCTTTTGGGTATTTTACTTGCCCTCAAGATTATTTTTACCCGACCTCTTAGTAGTATTAAAATTTTTAATGATTCTCGTAGTGCTCTCCAGGCCTTAGCGAGTGTCTCATCGCCCCATCCCTTAGTTAAAGATATTTTACAGTGGCTGTTTTTCATTCTACGTCGGGCTGGAAAGTCAGTTTTTGCTGGGTTCCGGCTTATGTGGGGGAGAAGGGGTATGAGTGTGCTGATGCTGTGGTGAAAGCAGCAGCTTCTTGCACTGTGGCAAATCATTCTCATTTACCTGCCTCTGATTCACTGACCTGTTGTTATGTCACCCATTTTTTTTATAAGCTTTTCTTTTGTTTGCGGTGGAGGTGGTGTATGGATTGGTGGATCCCTTGTTATTGACTTGACCTGATGTTATGTAAGGTCGCCCATTGTATATAAGCCTGTAAATTCAGTTGCCTCTGAAGATATCTTGAATAAAGACGAAAGCTAAGGTGCTCCAGTGTAGCTAGTTGACCGAGAGGTACCAGTGAACAACACACGCAGTGGCAGCATGACACAGACAGAGCGGATGTAAACAAATGGGATTTAACAGAATCACGCTCAATTTAGTAAAGTAGTTTGGTAAATCGAGTGAACATAACGGAAAGCTCAATTTTGCGGAAATTTCAATATAATGAACGGGTGGCTTGAATTAGTTCGTTAAATCGAGAAAATACTGTACGTACTAGCAAAATTACTTGCCATTTCATTTGCAAAAGTAGAGCAATGACATAAACAAGGTGAACAAGATGCACACAGAACACGCGACACATCCACACTCAGCAGAGGCATAAGTGAAACTGATGTTCCGTGGTGACGTACAGCATCATTAGGCGGGCGAGGAAAAGTAGTACCATCTGACCAACAACATAATAAAAAATTTTACACAATGTTGCGTGGACCCTTGGTATTGAAATAGTATTGACGTAATAACGAAACAACATTAACTGGGACGTTAGGCGAGGGCTTATCCGGTACTGTATTATCTCATTCTTCATAGCAGTTGGTTACTGGCAGGAATTTTGTTCAAGATTTGGTAATACTTTTCATAGTGTCAGCTGTTGTGGCAGGGGTCACGGCCAAGACATGTTGGTGTGTTGCTACAAATTATGTCAAGGATTTTACCTATACATAGACCTCTGATGGTCCTGAAAAACTGCTGGTCACAAGGGAGTCTGAAAATTTGTGGTCAACGTGTATTATTTAATTTTGATGCCGATTGGTTAAATGTGCCAGTTTGCAGGACTATGGATAACCTGGATTCTACTTTATAATGAAACACACAATATTAAAAGTATTGAATACTTCTTCCAGAAATGAAACAAAGATATATGTCTGGCATAAGGGCTAATTTTCTCACATATACCATGTACAGTCATTCCCCGACTTACGACACAGATATGTTCCTGGACCCTGATCATAAGTCAATTTGTTGGTAAGTGAGGACAGTGTTAATTCCATAGTTTAGGTTAGGTTAAAGCAGAGAGTGCGAGCTCTTTCAAGACAAAACTTGACCAACACTGGAGCGGGTTCAGGTACATTCAGGAGCCGGTGCATGCCCAGTATTTGCCAACAGTGCGTGACAGACTTGACCGATCGCCCAGGCGGCTAGCGAGCCGATCTTTTGGTGAAGAGGATAAATGAAAAGGAAAAGTAATCAGAGACGTGACCGATTGCCCAAGCGGCTAACGAGCCGATCAGTGGCAAAGAGGATAACATAACATAACATAGCAAATAATGTAAATACTGTAAATAAAGTGATGTTAAACACTATAGAATACTGTAATGAAAATAATGTAAAAAATTGGATTTTAATCCCAAATTTTTGCGATGAATGTACGTATTGCGATCCCATTTTTAAGTGCAGATGATCATAAGTCGGATGGAGGTAACTTGGGGGCTGCCTATATATAGAGTATAGCTATATAGTTTAAGCTATATATATTAACACAAGACCACATCCTCCCCCAAAATAAAATTGTGGAGTACTGTACCATGCCATACACATATAGATACACAGATACTAAATACAGGTACACATCTGTACATAACAGTACTGTCCAAAAATAATTACCTACACCTTTCTCCCACTCTTTGCAACAATTTAGGCATGGTGAAACGTTTTCAAAGTGTGTGAAATCCGTAAAATTGATATAGTAATATGCAGATTGTGTGTAATCATAAGCAGAGAGACACTAAGTGTTGTGGTGGAGGCGAGGCTGAGGGGTAACGAGGCAACCAGATGCAGCCAATGACAACCATTCTTTTACACGGCTGGCCAATAGAAACGTGCTTGTGCGGGTTCCTTGAGGGAGGAGGATGACGGTTAGCATGCTCCCAGGCAGCATCACCTAGACATTTCTGCGTGGCTGGCACGTGGTGTTCCAAAAAGTGTTATGCTAAAACAGAATTTTGGAAAAGATAACCAATTTTGTGTAAATTATATTTTTAACATAGGATTTTCTTTTTTACTAAGCACTTTATTAATATATCCAGTTCACTTCCCATATATTTACAATCTCTAAAGATGTTTTCTTTTACAGTTCCCCATCAGTCATAGAAATTGTGACTGCCTTGGAACAGTACGAGAAGAGTGAGTCAGGTCGCCTGTTGCCTGACATGGAGAAAAAACTGAGGATGTCATACAAAAGAGCTGTTAAGAATTCTCCTGATCCATTTAAAGTAATATTGATATTTTCAGTTATTATCATATAGGAATGAATTTGTTATACATCTAAACCTCAGAAACCCTGAAATTAGTTATTTATGGTTTTGAATGTCTCAACACCTTCACTCTTGATGTGAACAATTACCAGTACAGTATTTAAAACTCACATTAATCATCTTGTACAGTATAGTGTTGATTTTTTCAAATAATTTTTTTCACAATTCTTTTGTAGACAAAGCTATTTTTTGTTTCAGCTGCAAGTTATAAGATACAGGTAAACATCAATGGACGATATCTCGTTCAGCAATATTCCACTTTAATGATAGTTGTGAATTAAGACCATATCGCTATGTACAAAAAAAATTAACTTTAATTACATCCATCGATATCCATTGGTTGGATTTTTTTTATCTCTAGTGCAAACTATGGGTTTTATATACTCAAATTGGTTGTTATCTTGCAAGGATTCCAGCAATGTAAATTATATTTTTCTATGTCAAGTCAGTGACAATTTATAAGGAAACAATATTTAACCCTATGCACCACCATTGGTTAAGGCAACTTTGGCTGCACTTGTCAGCCGCGGCAATATCTACCCCCACGCAGCCACACGGTCAACTCATGCACTACAGTCCTGCACTTGGTACTTTGTTGATCGCATCTCCCCGCCATCGTGTAGCTCCATGATTATTTTATCATTCAGCATCGTTAGCTGTATATACATTGTACTTATCATCAGTGATTGTTTTATTTTCTTACAATAAGAGGACAGCACTAACATTTAGATATTGAGATTGAACTGTTATGGTGACTGTGAAGTGTTTTTTCTTTTTTTTTTTGTTATTTTTTTTTTACTACTACTACAGTGCTTCACCTCTGTTCTGAAAATAATGTGAGCAGTGTCAGCCACAATCATTGTATTTACATTACAGTAAACCCTCGAAGATCCGGACCCGGGAAATCCAGATTTGGGAAGATCCTGACAAAAAAATTTGGGGGTTCTGGGCTAAGAAGCCTCCTAAGAAACATTCCCAAATCAGAGCAAAGAACATTTTAGGCCTGTGGGCGATGCTTGACCACAGTCAGTCAGTTGCTTGGACACAGGTTCCCATGGAGGTGGGAAACATAAACAGAGTTGACAATTGTTGTTTATGGGAATAATATTTCATTCACTCTAGTAATGATACAATGTTTCTTATTATGTTATCATAGGTAACTACATGATTTATATACAGTGGGGTATGCTATAACGAACGGATCCTACTACGAATATTCCTATAACGAACAGTTTTACCTATAAAATTGAGAATGCTATAACGAACGCAACTCCTACAACAAACGCGGATGAATACGGGACTATTTCTCCTGGCGCATGAATATTGTTGTACCGCGACCCACAACATGAGCGAGCGTCAGGCGCCATCTTTGTCTCATTGTGTAGCCAGTGCACCACTGTTATTGTTGAAATTTCGTCTTTTGATGTTTAATTTCGCATTATTTGTATAACTATTTTGTTATACAAGTATACAATTGTAACAATGAATCGTCCAAAGCGAGTTAGAAAGCTAATAACTTTTGAAACTAAGAAAGAAATTATAAAGAAACGTGAGAATGGAAGAAGCATTGCGAAACTTAGTGATGAATATGGGATGGCTAAATCGACTGTATGTACGATTTTGAAGAATAAATAGGAGTTAAAAACTGTGCAAGTGGCTAAGGGAATCTTTAGACTTAGCAAAGTAAGGTGTAATGTGATTGAAGAGATGGAAAATTTACTCTTAGTGTGGATAAAGGAGAAAGAAATGGCAGGTGGTAACATTAGTGAAGCTATAATTTGTGAGAAGGCTAAACAATTGTTTGAGGACCTAAAAGCCAAGACTCCCAGTGGAAGTGATAGGACTGTGCCAGTGTTTAGGGGTACCTGCATGCTGAATAACACTAAGGTAAGATAAAGTACCGTATTTTTTAAATTTTCCACAGAATTTTTTCAGTGTTAAGTGGTTGTATTTGGGGGCCTGGAACGGATTAATCCTATAACGAACGAATGCTATAACGAACAAGGTTCTGGAACCAATTACGTTCGTTATAGCATACCCCACTGTACGGTAATTTTCTTTACTGTATTGTAAGTACAGTTGTACCCCACTTAACGCGGTCAATTGAACCCAGAGGGTCCCGCGTTAAGTGAAAACCGCGTTAAGTGAATAACAGAACATATGGGATTAATTCCAATAGAACCCAGCCCGACCCCCAAACTCCACTTTTTGACGACAAATAACTATGTTGTAGTAAAAATAACATCTTAATTTTATGATGGTACATGCACACAATTAATACTTAAGAGAAATAGAGAAATACAGTCGCCAAGTTAATGTCCATTCAAATAATGGACTCAACTCCCTCCCCCTCTTCTCACACTACACTCACTGGCTCTTCCCTCTGAGAAATTTTTTGGGGAAAACCAGGTATAGTAATAAATAATTCCTCAAACTAAAGTTAGGATAATATAATTGACATTGCTGGATTCCTTGTAAGACCAGGAATATTTTGAATATAAATGTCATATATTTTTCACAAAAGATAACATATTTACTCAGAATAAACTTTACATCTAAAATTTGTATGTCTAATGCAAAATCTATGATGTTTATATTCAAAATGATCAGCAAATTGTAAGAATTCCAGCAATGTAAATTATATTCTGGCCGGATAATTTGTATGAATTTTATGAGCTAAAACAAATATCTTCAGTTAATAAAAAAAAAAAAATATTCTTCGACACTATCTGTCAATCAAAGTACCCCACCTTGCCTTCCCCCCCTCTTCCAACCGCGTGGTCAGTCCCAACCCTCCCCCCACCCCCCACCAATCCTCCATTCAAGAGTTTTTAACATTTAGTATTAAATAATACCTCAGATTAAAGTTAGGATAATATAATTGACATTGCTGGATTCCTTGTAAGACCAGGAATATTTTGAATATAAATGTCATATATTTTGGACAAAAGATAACATAATTACCTAGAGAACAATTTTTATCTAAAAATTGTATGTTTAATGCAAAATATATGTTGTTTATATTCAAAATGATCACCAAATTATAAGAATTCCAGCAATGTAAATTATATTCTGACCGGGTAATTTGTATGAATTTTATGAGCTAAAACAAATATCTTCAGTTAATAAAAAAAAAAATAATTCTTCACGGGTAACAGATGGTCGGTCGGTCGGTCCCTCCCTCCCCCCCACCCCCCACCAACCGTCCCAAGGAGATGTGTGGGATAACCACTAAATTTTAATAAATAATACCTCAAACTAAAGTTAGGATAATATAATTGACATTGCTGGATTCCTTGTAAGACCAGGAATATTTTGAATATAAATGTCATATATTTTGGACAAAAGATAACATAATTACCTAGAGAACAATTTTTATCTAAAAATTGTATGTTTAATGCAAAATATATGTTGTTTATATTCAAAATGATCACCAAATTATAAGAATTCCAGCAATGTAAATTATATTCTGGCTGGGTAATTTGTATGAATTTTATGAGCTAAAACAGGCAGTCAGGCAGGGTGGCGGGTGGGGGGTGGTGCGAATCTAAAAATAGCTCTCGAGCCGGACACTCACCGCGTATATGATGAAAAATGCCGCGTTAAGTGAAAGTTCAGCTTTGGCAAGGCACCGCGTATATGCGAAAACGCGTTAAGTGAAAGCGCGTTAAGCGGGGTAATACTGTATGTGTGTGTGTATGTGTAGACACACACACATACATACAAATAAATATTAATTGGAAAATCCTCTCACAAATAATCAGAAACAAAAACATTAAAAATGTGACAGTCTTCCCTCAAATTCGTGCTCTATTAATAAGTAATAGAGCACGGACTTGAGGGTAGACTCACATTTTTTATAAATTTGTTTCTGATTATTTGTGAGAGGATTTTCCCATTATTATTTGTATGGTTTTTGTGTGTGTGTGTGTAGAGACACACACACAAAACAGGGAACCCCCTGTGCTGTATTTTTGTTGTGTCTTATATTATTTATTAATCGGCAGAAAATCCGGACAATTGGCTTTCCCGGACACGTGGTCCCCCTTTTTTGTCCGAGGGTTCACTGTATTATCGTTTGCTCTGTTTTTGTGACAATTGTTTTTGCTCTGTTTTTGTGACAATTGTTTTTGCTCTGTTTTTGTGACAATTGTTTTTGCTCTGTTTTTGTGACCGTGAAGTGAGCAGTGTAACGTTGAAAATGTCTGGGAAGGCCAAGGCATCCAAGACAACCATGTCTCTGAGGTGAAGCTTGACATTGTGAAGGGGTATGAGACTCCCCAGAGGCTGTGTGTGAGTCAGAGTGACGTCTCCACTCCACCTACAAGGGTCCCCTTAGCCTCGAATAGGACATGTGATAATGACAAAGGCTTATTTTTTATGATGTGTTGAGTGGTCTCTAATTGTTTTCTATTGGTTTTACAGTATGGTCTGGATATATAGGGTCCAAGGATGTACTAATCAATGGGGAAAATAGCGTTAAGTTCTGGAGGCTAATAAAAGTGACTAAACTTAACATAATTAGTTTATTTTCTTACTAATTAAAGCACCAATGAACACTAAGACTCAGGAACACCAGACTCAGGAACACCAGACTCGGCAACAAACCCAACACTGCCACCCTCACTTCACAATCCCACATCTACATAAATGAACAAACGAAAAATATTAGTAACAGTATTATATCTTTTCCATTAAGCTTTCCATTCTCTTCACTTTTCACATTACTAGCAACCCATTTACACTCACCTTAGAAGTCTGAATCTGCAGCAGAGTTGGCTGCTGACTTGAACTAGGAGGAGTGGCACTAGTACACTTAGGCAACTTGGTAGACAGTAGTAGAGCACGTGGTGACCTTGACTGGAGAGCGAAAGAACAGCATCCACATGTGGCAAGAGCTGAATCATAAAGACTGTGCGGAAGAGTGTGAATGCATGAGTGAGCAGCCATGGTGGCGCCTCTGGAATTTTTCTGTTGGTGATACATGTCCCTTTGAACTCCATGTTATAATGCTCCCTATCTATAATATTTGACTTAGTAATGGGTTTTTCAGGAACCTAATCACATTGTTTATCAAAGTTTACCTGTACTTTTTTCCCTTTGCTCCTTCAATGTAAGTCCTGTTGTATCTACCAGTAATAAATAAGCTCCTTCTCATTTCAAAAAGGTTTCTTCTCTTCATTACCTCACATAATTACCAAATTAATTCTCCACTTGTTTGTTTATATCCCATTTTATCAATTCAGTTTCAATTTCAATTGTTTATTCCTTGATAGAGGAAGCGGGATCCTAGTGCTGTCACTGTGTACCCCTGTACAATGACACCAGAAGCATCTGGCAAGTGTGACAAGTATATACAGTATAAATATTATAAAGGGGCTTACTAAAGCCCAAGGAAGGAAGGATATTCCTTTAACACATAATCAATATTATTTACAAAATATCTGGCCAGTATGGGGAGGATCATCGTGTCTCCGTCAGGGGGTCGTGGAGTGGTGGTCCAGCAGGCGTCACGGAAGCGTTGTGTGTGGGGACATCTTAGGAGGTAGTGAATAAGGGTGCTGCTGTCGGGTCTTCTGCATAATGCACAAGAGCGTTGCTCAGGGGATGCGGGGATACCAATCTCCCAAGCAAAGTCATACCCAATGATGATATGGGCAGCAATCACGTCCCCTTTCCGCGACCCTTTCCCTTAGACGTACGAGAGGTCAGGAAGTTTACGGAGGACATCGTGCCAGGTGGGCGGGGAGTCCAGGGGGATGGCTGCTTCCCGAGCTTCTCTCTGTTTGCGGCGAATTTGGGTCCTAATCTGTAAGAGTGTTCGAGGAACAACGTAGTCAGGTGTGGCCTTGTTGCAGCCAGTCTTGGCAAGGCCATCTGCTGCCTCATTCCCCAAGATACTGACATGACTAGGTATCCATAGGAATGTCACAGGACAGCCTGCATCTTGAAGTGTGGATGTTAACCCTCGTATTCGGATGATGAGGTCCTTATTTTCCCCTGATCCAAATGCAATCCCGTCGAGAGCAGACCTGGAATCGCAGCAGTCAAGCAAGGGGCAGAAACCATCTGCTTCTTCCTCAGCGAGAAGGGCAGCAAGGAGGGCTATTAGTTCAGCCTGAGTGGAGGATGCCCCGTCAGAAACCCCATTTTATCTAAAATGTTTCAGTACATCACATAGGCTCAGTGCACTTCCTTTTACATATTTTGGTCTGTTGTCTTATTAATTTTGTTATACAATTTTATCTGTTTTCAATTCCCTTTTTGTTTTTATAATTTCTTAGTTTCTACTGCAGTCATGTATGATACAAAATGCTGATGGGTATTAGAAGAACAATGTATAAGACTTGGTAATATTATTGAAAGGATTTTTTCTTGAATTATCATTGTTATAATGAATCACCATTAATAGGGAAAGGATCATTTATTATTGAAGCAGTGATTAGTGAATTTCTCACAGGGCTAATGCTTTACGGAGTATTGTAATGTTTTTCTTTGTAGCGAGCTGTTTACTGTGTCTTGAGCCGTTGTGACCCACATGAGGACCATGGTGATATTGCTGCTACAACGGATGACTACTTGTGGCTCAAACTGTGTGTGGTGAGTAACACTGACTTTTTTGCTTCAGAATTTAAAGATGAGTGTGATTTGGCCAGTGGCTGTGGCACAATAATCCAGTAAATTAGAATACAATACAGGTATATATACCTCAGTTAATGAAAGGATTGTGCTCCTGAAAACCCTATCATTAACCAAGTAATTGTAAATCAAATTATAATTCCTTTGTTTACCATTATAAATAAGTAGCTATGTTCCTTGGAAAAAATGTCCAATACTAAGTAAAATGACTCTGCAACACAACTTCATTATTTGTATGCATAAAAAAATTAAAATGCAGTACTGTATACTGAGGCAACAGTTTAATAAAAACAAAAATCTAATTTATTTAATTCCTTGTGTTGAATATTATTGTCCAACATTTGCCCAATTAAATATTAAAAGTGGTATCCCTATAGTGAATGGGTAAGTGGAGAGTCTACTAATCTTTATTGTACTGGGTCCCCTTATGTGTTGACTATAATCATCCGTCATTATGCAAATAAAATTTTTAAAGTGGCATCCTTGTAGTCAAGGGGTTAATAGTTCCTAGCATAGTTGACTGAGAGAGTCCTTAAGCTTCTTTTCTTGGTGATGGATAACCTTTGTATTAATTTGGAAATACAATATGTGCTGTAATGTAAGACCTACAGAAGGAGACAATGATGTTTGGTACAGTAGTTGTGTGTAGCAATGATATTAAAACCGAGAACTGAATTAAAATCACCTGAATTTGTGGAACACCTGTAAAGAACATTATTATGTTGAGACTACTAAGTAAAATATTTAAGATGACAATATATTTTTTTTGGTAACTTCTTATTTTGGTAACTACAGCTGTTGTGTATTTTTATTATAAGTGAGTATAGATTGCAATTTCTCACTAAATAATTGACAAACTTCATATTGGCAGGTTGATTGTGACTCATCACCATCTGCTTCAACCTCTAGCAGCAGTAGTGCTCAGCAGGATGTACTCTCTCTCACTCATCTACAGAATCTTCTTTATGAACAGTATGGTAAGTTATGCAGTAATGATCAGTTGCTTGTTGAGGCAATTTTGATACTTTTAGAATCTGATATTCTGGAAATAATAGCATGCATGAATGACTGAGAGTTCAGTGATGATTTGCTGCAGAATGGTGATGCTAGGTTGAGAAATATATTTGTTTTTTATTCTTAAAAATTTGTTTATAGATTATTAACTAAAGAGATTCATTCATTAACCCTCCCAAGCATTTTGACATGAATCACGTTAATCGTGTCATTAAAACTAATTTGGGAAAAAATAATGATACCATATTTTATGGTATATAAGATGCATTTTTTGTCTGAAAAATATCGAAAATATCAGTCTGCAACCTGTATGTGAGGTTGTAGTCTCCCTTAGTCTAATGAATCACCCAATTGCTGTCTAGGCTAAATTCTACCTCGCCCAACTCCAGAATTGAAAATATGTTGCTGCTTACATAAACACATGACAGTGAACTTCCTCTAATCCAGACTAATTGGGGGGCTGTCTGGTTTGACCGAAATTGTGTGTTGGGCGGTGTTTGTATTACAGGTTGTACCTCTCTAGTCCGGCAACCTCGGGACCTGACCGGTGTCGGACCATGGAAATTTCCGGACAATGGAAATTCACCCTTTTACTGGATAGATAGTGACTTGTGTATACACTTGGAAGCACTAGCACCACTTTCACTGCTTCGTGGTCTCTTTGAAGACATATTAAAGGGTTAATTGTTGTACAGTAGGTTCTCAAATTTCGCGAGTTTTTAATTCAACGTTTTTTATTTGGACACAAAAAAAAAACACTGCTCAATTTAAAATTTCGACGCCGAAAACTTGAATTTCGACGGGTTTGACCGGCCCGCCAACGTTCAGACATGCACAATTGTGTAAACAGCGCCATTTCTCGATGTACAAAACATTCATTATTGTTTATTACTGAATGTCTTTTTGATTGAATTAATGTTTATGTGTTCAAAATGAACAATACAATTTATTAATAATACGTAGAATATTAAAACACACGATGAGACGAGACGGTATTGTTTTCGTTAATGTTTACAAAACCAGTGACTTATTGGTTTTACATATAAAACTGAAGAAAATAAGACCCTGGTTGTAGCTGTAGTAAACTTAATATGGTTGTTTTAAGTAATGTTATTTAATGTTAATAAATGGAACAATGGAAGTAGCTAATCATTAATGGTAAAAAAAAAGTGAGATCACGTATGTAAGTGAGCACATGTGTACAGTGATCCCTCGGTTAACGAGCGCCTCGGTTAACGAGATTTCGGTTAACGAATTACCTTCCATAAGATTCTTAACTTCGGTTAACGAGCAATCCCTCGATTAACGAGTTTTTTACGAGCCGACTTCAACATGTTTTCGCTTGCATTTGGTGGTCCACCAGCTGTAGTATTAGTCCACCAATACAGTAATCGGTTTTAGGGCTTAAATTCCTTACTATTTTAGTAAATATCAAGAAGTTTACACTATTCAATAATTTTAAAAGTTTATTATTAACTTTTTTAGTCATTTTAACAATTATTGAACATAATTGAAGGTAAAGAAACTAGTTTCTGGCCTGCCATCCAGCCTCTTAACACACCAGACAGGTGTTAGTCTCTCTCTGTTTTCAGTGGAGGTAACATCTTGCTTGAGACTCTCTTCAACTAAATGCTTTTTTTCTGTGTTTCCAATCAAATTATTGGTCATTTTGAAATTTATTTTACATATTGACAATATATAATGCAGTGCTGTGTTGATTTAAATAAAATAATCTTGAATTACACCAAGAGAACTAAAATTTTATGGGTGAAATGGCACCATGGGGTGGCTTCTCTTCTACCCCAATGCCTTCTCTTCTTCCTTCTCCTCCACCCCCATTCTAATTCCCATCATCATCATCATCATCCAGGAGCCTTCTACATACACACCTCAAAGTAAGTGTACTTTTCTACCTTTTTTGTTGAATTTAGGCAATTTTCGGTGAGCTGGAACCAATTACCCAAAAACCCATTGAAACAATGGTTTCGGTTAACGAGCAACCTGCTGGAACGGATTGTGCTCATTAACCGAGGGACCACTGTAAACATATCGTCATTACTCTACATAAGAATATGAAAGCAACAATTATTTACTGTTCATATATATATTAATTAATGTTTCTGAATTTAAAACAAAAATTCCACCCACCAGTGGTGGTAAAGTTGAAAACATAAAGACAGCCAATGTTGTTGTGTGTGTTTTTACTTGGATGACGAAGTTGCCAAGCCATCAGGTTCAACTCTAGCTAAAGCTGTAGAACAAAAGAACTTTTCTGTGTTGTTTTTAGTTTTTATTTATTTTTATATGTGTTATTTTCATTGGTTTATTAGGATGTTGCTTTATTACAGGTAGTAATTCGCCAAAAAAGTAGGGTAAATAAGGCCAAATTTAGCCAAACATCGAAAGTACAGTACTAGACTCAAATTAATTTTCTCCATGGGCAAACTAAAATCGTTCCAGACCATGGGAGTTTCCGGACCACAGAATGCCGGACTAGAGAAGTTACAACCTGTATCTATATTGCAGGCTATTAAAAATAAAGTTTTCCTCACTCATACGATCTTGGTTGCTTGGTGCTAGCGCTTCATACATCTGTACTCAGTGAGTTTCCCATAGTGATACACATGAACCTCCTTGAAAGAAAAAATGGTTTAGCTTTGATATTCTCAGTATTGGACTAAAGAGGAAATATCCAATTTAAAATATAAGCTTAACTTTTATCTTTAGGAAATCTCTAAATTGTACTGTACACTTAAAACATTTGCATTTGTAAATGTTTAATCTCATGGTACAGTATTATCATTTTTTGTTGTTCATGTTCAGTTGGAGCTGAACTTGTTTTGACCTTCACCCTGAATGGAATTTATTTTTCAGTACATTATTCTCTCGATTTAACAGAATCTGATATAACGAACGCTCAATTTAGTGGAAGGAATTTTTTCCATTATATTTCATTCGACTTAGTGAACTAGTTTGCTAAATCGGGATCAATTCTATTCATACGCTCACACCTACGGAAACACCAAAAAACATGTGTTCATTGGAACATTAGAAACATTATTCATGGCTTATTATATACTAGTGGGTTTGGTGTTTGTTTTCAGTTGTTTTCTATTATTTCCTAACTTTCTTTTCCAATTGATAGCTGTGCCTGTTTGACTTTCTCCCCCACACCACTTCCTTTCTGAGAGACTTTTTGCCTGATGTATAAGCACAGTAGTTACTGGACCGAGAGGTAAATGTGAACAACACATGCGGTGGCGGCAGGACACATACTGAGCGGATGTAAACAAATCTCGCGCTCCGAGCGGTGCATTTGGCGTGGAATTTAGTGGAATCTTGTTCGATTTAGCAAACTAGTTCACTAAATCGAGTGAAAATAATGGAAGTTTGATTTAGCAGAAATTTCAAATTAACGGAAATGGGTGGCTGTAATTAGTTAATTAAATTGAGAAAATACTGTATTTGTACGTTTCTTAGCTGTACAGTACCAGCAGCTATGTGTTTGGGTAGATAACTTACTTACCTAATATAACGTTCCTAGGTCAAATATAACTTAATTCTACTACACTACCTGCACACATTAATTAACTTGACAATGATAAATGGCCTAATGTGTGTTTAAATTTACTCATGTTTTTGGCTGCTTTACCTTATGTCTTATAAAACTAAACCTAGTCACTGGTATATAAAGAAATTTTTTAACTTTTCATAGTATGAATTTTGGTGCAGGTGTTTGACCTGTATAGTGCAGGTGTTATGACCTGTATGGTGTAGGTGTTGTGACCTGTATAGTGCAAGTGTTATGACCTGTATGGTGTTGGTGTTGTGACCTGTGTAGTGCAGGTGTTGTGACCTGTATGGTGTTGGTGTTGTGACCTGTGTAGTGCAGGTGTTGTGACCTGTATTGTGTAGGTGTTGTGACCTGTGTAGTGCAGGTGTTGTGACCTGTATTGTGTAAGTGTTGTGGCTTGTATGGTGCAGGTGTTGTGACCTGTATTGTGTAAGTGTTGTGGCTTGTATGGTGCAGGTGTTGTGACCTGTATGGTGCAGGTGTTGTGAAATGTATGGTGCAGCTGTTGTGGCCTGTATGGTGCAGGTGTTGACTTGTATAGTGCAGGTGTTGTGACCTGTATGGTGTTGGTGTTGTGACCTGTGTAGTGCAGGTGTTGTGACCTGTATGGTGTAAGTGTTGTGGCTTGTATGGTGCAGGTGTTGTGACCTGTATTGTGTAAGTGTTGTGGCTTGTATGGTGGCAGACATGTAAGGTGCAGGTGTTGTGAAATGTATGGTGCAGGTGTTGTGGCCTGTATGGTGCAGGTGTTGACATGTATGGTGCAGGTGTTGTGGCCTGTATGGTGCAGGTGTTGTGGCCTGTATGGTGCAGGTGTTGACATGTATGGTGCAGGTGTTGTGACCTGTATTGTGTAAATGGTGTGTGTTGTGGCCTGTATGGTGCAGGTGTTGTGACATGTATGGTGCAGGTGTTGTGGCCTGTATGTGCAGGTGTTGTGACCTGTATGGAGTAGGTGTTGTGGCTTGTATGGTGCAGGTGTTGTGACCTGTGGTGCAGGTGTTGTGACATGTATGGTGCAGGTGTTGTGGCCTGTATAGTGCAGGTGTTGTGGTCTGTATGGTGCAGGTGTTATGATATGCATGCAGGTGTTGATATGCATGGTGCAGGTGTTGTGGTCTGTATGGCACAGGTGTTGTGGCTTGTATGGTGCAGCTGTTGTGGTCTGTATGGTGCAGGTGTTATGATATGCATGGTGCAGGTGTTATGATATGCATGGTGTGGCTTGTATGGTGCAGCTGTTATGACATGTATGGTGCAGGTGTGGCCTGTATGGTGCAGGTGTTGTGACATGTATAGTGCAAGTGTTGTGACATGTACGGTGCAGGTGTTGTGACATTATGGTGCAGGTATTGTGACACGATGGTGCAGGTGTTGTGACATGTATGGTGCAGGTGTTGTGACCTGTATGGTGCAGGTGTTGTGGCTTGTATGGTGCAGGTGTTGTGGTCTGTACAGGTGTTGTGGCTTGTATGGTGTAGGTGTTGTGGCTTGTATGGTGCAGGTGTTGTGCCTGTATGTGCAGGTGTTGTGACATGTATGGTGCAGGTGTTGTGACAGGTGTTGTGGTCTGTATGGTACAGGTGTTGTGGCCTATGCAGGTGTTGTGGCAGTATGGTGCAGGTGTTGTGGCCTGTATGGCAGGTGTTGTGCCTGTGGTGCAGGTGTTGTGGCCTGTATAGTGCAGGTGTTGTGGCCTGTATAGTGCAGGTGTTGGCCTGTATGGTGCAGGTGTTATGCCTGTATGGTGCAGGTGTTGTGCCTGTATGGTGCAGGTGTTGTGACATATATGGTGTAGGTGTTATGGCTTGTATGGTGCAGGTGTTGTGGCTTGTATGGTGCAGGTGTTGTGGCTTGTATGGTGCAGGTGTGGCCTGTATGGTGCAGGTGTTGTGACCTGTTTGCAGGTGTTGGCCTGTATAGTGCAGGTGTTGTGGCCCAGGTGTGGAGTGCAGGTGTGTGTGTGTGTATGGTGAAGGTGTTGTGGCCAGGTGTTGTGACTGTATGGTGCAGGTGTTGTGGCCTGTATAGTGCAGGTGTTGTGGCCTGGCCTGGTATGGTGAAGGTGTTGTGGCCTGTATGGTGAAGGTGTTGTGGCCTGTATGGTGCAGGTGTTGTGGCTTGTATGGTGCAGGTGTTGTGGCCTGTATGGTGCAGGTGTTGTGGCTTGTATGGTGCAGGTGTTGTGGCCTGTAAGTGCAGGTGTGGCCTGTATGGTGAAGGTGTTGTGGCCTGTATGGTGAGGTGGTGTGGCCTGTATGGTGCAGGTGTTGTGGCTTGTATGGTGCAGGTGTTGTGGCTTGTATGGTGCAGGTGTTGTGGCCTGTATGGTGCAGGTGTTGTGGCTTGTATGGTGCAGGTGTTGTGGCTTGTATGGTGCAGGTGTTGTGATTAAATATGTATGGGAAGAGGACTGGGGTAAGCTGCACAGTACAGTACCTTAGTTTAAGGATCACACTACAGTATTGTCCTGTAAATGGGTAAAGAAAGTATAATTCATTAATTTTTTCTTGACTTCACAGGAGAGTCCCATTTCAATGCATACTATCAGCCACTTCTCTATACATCAGTGAGTATATTTTATTGTACTGCAATGAATGAATAACAGAATTTCAATACAAAGTTAATCTGCATGATGAGTATTATATAACTATAAATTTTTGCTCATATTAATGATTGTGGATTACAGATTTTGCTGCAAACAGCCCAGTTTGAAGCTGCTGTTGAATTTCTAAGTCGAAAAGAAGCTTTGAGATGTCATGCTGTTCATGTGGCTCTTGCATTGCACGAAATGAACCTTTTGGCTATACCTGCAGAAGTTCATTCCCCAATGTGTAAGTACAGTATATATATTTATATAGTGTCTCTCTCTCTGATGTGTGTGTGTATGTGGGGTAAGGTGGAGGGTGAGCGTTCATTGTACCATACAGCAGTATACCATGCATGAATATACTTTATTATTATTACAGTATCACCTTTTATATCACCTCATACCATCTACAGTCAGCTCTTAGGCAATTGATGAAAATCAAGCAGAAAGCAAGAACTTGATGTTTAATGTAAAGAAAAAACCTAAACGTCATAATGTTGAAATTAATAAAGCCTGTTTGTTGTACAGTATGTCACACATCAGGAGAATATATAAGTTAAGAGTAAACAGTCCACTTACAGTAATTTCCCCGTTAGCTGGAATTTTTGATCCTCGAAACTTTCCATTACTTGTAACATTAAATTTCATCATTTTGAGAAATATATCTTGGTTCCGGGCATTCAAATAATTTCTGAGCAATTTCATTATGTGCCTACGTGGGTGTGTACGCTAAGAGTGCTCGTGAGCTACAATTGGCTATTACTGTAGAACCTCGATATAACATATAATGCGAGATATGTTACAAGAGAGGTCGCTTTAAACCAAATTCCCACTAAATCGAAATTTTGTTTCAATGTAATAATTTAGTTTGGTACTTGAGAGAAACGCAAAATACTAAAAAGACTGAGAGTCTATCCGGTTGCACCTCAGCCCATCTCTTAGAATAAACAAAACATTGTTTTTTGTAGTGTTATGTTAAAACAAACACTCATAATTCAACACAGCTAAAATTAAGGGATGCAAAATGGTCTGTTTACTGGCTGGGAAAATGGGGGGAGGGAGGTGAGGTGATATGTTTGACAGTTGATGCCCAGGTCTAGTGCTTATTTATTTATCTGTCCTTAAGAGTGACTTTAAGTTTTTCTCTTATAAAATGTCACTGAACTGACATGGGAGAATATAAATAACATTGCTGGAATTCTTATAAGATAGTGAATAATTTGAATATACAGTAAACATGCTATAGCTCATATTAGACATACAAATTTTAGTTCTAATTTAAGAATTTTAGAACAAAGAGCCAAAATTTTTATCTCTTTTGCAAAAGATATGACATTTATATTCAAATTATTCACTGTCTTGCAAGGATTCCAGCAATACAAATTCTATTCTCCTAACTTTAGTCTGTGACATTATATAAGATAAAAACTTTAAGCCTAAAACACCAAACCCTGGCTGGGAAGATGGGGGGGGGGGGTGACAGTGACAGTGACATTTTTGACAGTTGGTGCCTAAGGTCTAGTGAAGTATTTATTTGTTTATTTATGTACTTTAGCATGAGTATGTTTTTTGCTTATAAAATGTCACAGAAGTGACTGGGGAGAATGTAATTAACATTGCTGGAATTCTTAAAAGATAGTGATTAATTTGAATATAAACATGCTAAAGTTTACACTAGACATAAATTTTAATAATCATTTGGTACATTATTTTGAGTACATGTACAGTACAGCTTTGCCCTTAGGACAGTGTAGCTGCTCAGAGGAACATTAGGCGCAAAATTTTAAATATAATGCGCCAGATTGACTCTCACAAAATAGGAAAGATTCGCTTTAAATCAAAACATTGTCCTTAATTGTGGGTGTCACTTTAAATCAATAATCTTAAGTTGAATCGCTTTAAATAGACGTTCTACTGTACTGTCATGTGACACGAATCTTGGATTTTATTATTTTTTTTAAATTAAATAAAATATCTCTCCAATCATGATGGCCATTTGTTATTGTTGTGGAGCGCACAGCGTGGACCATGTGATAGCAGGGAATCCTCATTATTCGCATTTAATTTGGCCTCTGATAACGAATCCACATAAAGCGGGGAATTAATCCCATAAGAAATGATGGAAATAGGTCAAATTGGGACCATGATATTGTACATGACACTCACAAGATTTTTATATGATATCTTTTAACAATTATTTACCTGAGAAACATTTGTGTACACTCACTCCAGTGGTTCATTGAGACAAAATATTTATTATAATGTTTTAAAAATGAATAATTTTAACATAATAAAATATTTTTATTTGCTTAACTTCAAAAGTAGAGATGATTGGCTTGATTTGATTGATGGAGGTGGATGTTGGGAGAGGAGGAATAGTCGGACGATGAGAGACAGGACTAGATGGCTTGTCTATTCCCATCTTGTCAAGGTGGTGGCTTTACACCACAAGGACCTGGCTGAGGTTCACAGGCTTCCGTGACTGGTTTGTCTTTCTTGAAAAATTAATTGAGGGGTTTTTATTTACCAGCAAAATGTTTTTCATGTAAAATTGTGCTGTAACAGGCAAACAGATCTTTTGATCCCCGTTCAATTTTGGAACCACAATCATAAAGTGGGTCATTCTTAAAATATTCTGAGGTTTCATCAGTTTTAGAGAAAGCTTCTCAAAGATATTTCACTGTTAGGCCTTCAAGTTGCACTGCCATGATGTCATGGATTGCATTGGGCCTAACGCAACCCAACTCCAATGTTTGTTTTACGGGAGATAAGACACCAGGCGAGCCGTGACTCCATCATCACTATTTCATTAGTGGGTATGTGAGCCAGTGTATGGGGGGTGATTGAGGCAGTGTTGTATTGTCCATCATGTTTCATGCTCCAAAACCACATGTTTAGCCAGTATGCCCTAGACCATGGGTTAGTTAAGACGTTCTCGTCCACTCCTTTCTGAAGGGAACGGCACGCAACACAACACAGAGTCCTATACCGTGACCCCGTCCTGTGGACTGTCAGTGACACGAGATTAAGTGTGCCAACCCGAGGTTTGTTATTCCCGTGGAAAGATCACGTGTGGAAGCCTGGTTACAACGAGCAATCCAGGCTGGCAATAAATATATCACTTGTGGAAATAAGGCTCTGTTAAGTCATACCCATAGTAGAATAATCAAATGTGCGGCCCCCGGCTAGAAATTCCCTCTTTACAAGATTAATTTTATTATGGTGTGAATGTGAGTGACTCATATATCCATGCAAATTGTAAATCATTGTATGGAAGCTTGCCAAATAAATGTAACTGCAATTATCTGCCTGTGTCTGTGATCCCTATCTTATTATTACTAAAGGTAATGACTGATTGGTTATGACAAAGTATAACTGATAACTTGATGGATATTGGAAATTAATGGAACTCATTAAATCATCATTTATCAAGTATAAATCACGTGGAATGTCGGGTGGTGGAGTGAATTTCTACGTAGATACACCCTAATCTCCTGAAAGTAACCACTGTGAAGATATCTAACTCTACGGTAAGAAATTAAGAAACACATAATATTATATCCATCCAGACATAAATCTGTGACACATGGGAATTCAATCATCATTATCAAATTCCTCCTCTAACTCAGCCAATTCAGCATTTGTTAATGGAAGAGAATGAGACTGCACCAAATCCCTTACATCTCTGTCATTCACTTCCTTAGAGTCTGCATCATTAGCTCGCTCTAAAATCTCAGTGTGCATTTAGCCAACATCAAACCCTTCAAAAGAATGAACAGCTTCTGGATACAACTTCTTCCAACATCCATTCATTAGCCTAGTTGACACATCTTTCCAGACTTGGCCGAGTAACTGAACACAATCTAAAATATTAAATTTTGCCAGAATTCAATAATTTCTTGAAGGTACAGCATAAATAATAAGTCTTCCAGCAACTGATCGCTCCCATATTCATGAGTTGCATTACTGATATTGTTTTGGTTGGCAAAAATACTACCTTAATGTTTGGAGACAAACTAACAAAATCAAGGTTGTGAGCACTGGCATTTTCCAAAAGTAAAAGAACTTTAAATGATTGATTATTCACTTTGCAATATTTCTTGGTCTCCGGTACAAAATATTCCACAAACCAGTCATGGAAAATTTGTTGGGTCACCAAAGGCATTTCCACTCACAAGCAGAGCTATGCGATCTTTGGAAACCTTGAAACCTAGAGCACAGTTTCTTTTTTTGATAAATAAGTGCAAGATGGCATTCACTTTCAAAATATGCCAGTTTCATCAACATTAAAAATCTGCTGTGCGCTGTACCCACCTTCATCAATGATATTTTTCAGCTGCTCAGGAAATGTTTCAGCAGCGTGGACATCTGTACTGGCAGCCTCACCCTGAATTTTTATGTTCTTAAACCCATATTGCTTTTGAAATTGATGGACCCAATCTTTTGATGCTCCGAAATCCTTCTCCTTGGCAGTTTCCTCCTCTCCCAACTCCTTCCTTAGGACTTCATGCAGCTTTAAAGCCTTCTCTTTTATGAGAGCTAGGCTGACTGGTGCATACTGGTGGTATAAATCGTCAATCCAAGTGGCCAGTTGCCTCTCCATAGTTTTCATCACATCACTACTCTGCCTTGTTAACTTTACTTCCAAGTGCCTAAGTGATTTTTTAGCCCTTGCTTCTATTTCCTTGGAAGGCTTGTATGTATGGTTGTTTCAGGTATGTGCAGGGCATGAGTGATGTTGATCACTCATTCACCACCCCTCTTTTGCCTAATCACTTCTAATTTTATATCTATACTGTAACAGTACACTTTCTTTTGATCACTGCACCACCTTATTTGGGTTAGGAACTCATGGCTACAAATATAATAAAATAATTCGCCACAACCTGCACAAAAAGGCACAACAAAGGCAGGAGTAAACACAACACAGCACTGGGTTGGACAAAACAAGGCGGGAGACTGGCGCGGGACATGTGCGTGCATGCATGATGCCAGGAAGAGGATGATATTTCAAATGCTTCAGCTAAAAATATGTAGATTTAATCAGGAGTTTTCAGAGTTTTTGAGTGGAATCCTCTTAAATACGGTGACTTTTTACGTGGATGGTCACAAAAAGTTGACCGCGTAACTGCGAAATCAGGGATAGTGAATACTCTTACCCATCCTGCATCATTACAACATAGCCACGCTGTGTTCAGTCAGAATCATTATAGAATAAGATAAAAAAATAATATTTAGCAATGTATATTTTTTCTTAAAATACAACTGAATTAAACCCCTGGGCTGCTGTGAGGAAATCTGACAGCCATCTAATAAGGTGATGTACCAACTGTACAGTAATTACCAAACAATCAGGTTTTTTTTTTTTTTATATGATTTCATATTTTCTAAGTGTATAATGTTTGGGGTTTCTTTTTGTTGGGGGACTGAACCTTATTTTTCCCGTAAAGGTAGACAATATGGTGATCCCTCGGTTAACGAGCGCCTTGGTTAATGAGATTTCGGTTAACGAATTACCTTCCATAAGATTCTTAACTTCGGTTAACGAGCAATCCCTCGATTAACAAGTGCCCCTCCACATGTTTTTGCTTGCATTTGGCGGTCCACCAGCTGTAGTATTAGTCCGCCAATACAGTAATCGGTTCTAGGGCTTAAATTCCTTACTATTTTAGTAAAAATCAAGAAGTTTGTACTATTCAATAATTTTAAAAGTTTTATATTAAATTTTTTAGTCATTTTAACAATTATTGAACATAATTGAAGTATAGGAAGCTAGTCTTTTGCGCGCCAAACAGCCTGTCAACACACCATACAGGCGTCAGTCTCTGTGTCTTTTCAGTGGAGGTAACATCTTGCTTGAGACTCTCTTCAACTAAACGCTTTTTTCTGTTTCCAAGCAAATTATTGGTCAATTTTAAATTTATTTTACATATTGACAATATATAATGCAGTGCAGTGTTGATTTAAAGAAAATAATCTTGAATTACACCAAGAGAACTAAAATTTTATGGGTGAAATGGCTCCATGGGGTGACTTCTCTTCCACCCCAATGCCGTCTCTTCTCCACCCCCATTCTAATCATCATCATCATCATCATCATCATCATCATCATCATCATCATCATCATCATCATCATCATCCAGGAGCCTTCTACATACACACCTCAAAGTAAGTGTACTTTACTCCCTTTTTTGTTGATTTTAGGCAATTTTCGGTGAGCTGGAACCAATTACCCAAAAACCCATTGAAACAATGGTTTCGGTTAACGAGTTTTTCGGTTAACGAGCAACCTTCTGGAACGAATTGTGCTCGTTAACCGAGGGACCACTGTACAGGTGGTCTGTTATTTGTTATCTGGACACTTTCTTTCTGAATGGTTTTCAAGGAACCTAACTCATTTAAGTATCAAGGGATACCTGTATTATTGAATGACTCCACTGAAAGGAAATGACATTATCAGAGAAAAAGTAGAGTTTGGACAAGCTACATAAGGGTTAGACCCTAGCATCCCTCGGTCACCAGCACTGCATAATGGAGTCAATCACACACACTTTCCATGCTTGTGAAAAAAGATTCATGGTAGTGTAAAATATGTAAAAGTTATTAAGTGTGTGGCTCAGTGATAAAATAAACAATAAAGACTATGCTGTTGATGGCATAGCAATACAGGAAAAGCACATAGCTCAACCTCCACCACCACCATTTTATGGCCATTTACCATGCTTGAGTGTGTTAACCATGATTCCATGGTGCATGGTCTCTTACAGCCTCTCTCATCAAATTCTTATCTCTAAGGTTATTTCTTACAACTTCTCCCCATATCATTCTTGGCTTACCCCTGGCTCTTTCCATCTACATTCAATCTCATGCAACTCTTAATCCAGTCGGTCTCTTTATTTAACATCACTCCCAAATACTTGAAAACCTTAACTTCTTCCACTATCTCACCTCACCTCATGCCCTGTGATGTCATTCACACTCCAATGAGCTGCCTCCTCACCCATTTCTAGAATAGTTTAGTCCTTTAGTGCACTCACCACACTAGCCACTGGCTTGCTACTGGATGGGAGTGACACTTGGCAATTGTACACATTATTTTTTTTGGCCATTGTACCATGTCCTCTGATGCAACACTTTTTATTACATAGGTGTTATGTTAATACCATGTATGATCTGTGTTTGAGCATGGTATTTTATGTTGTACTGTACTGTAATTTTATGAAAGGTATAGGAATTTGTGTGTGGCGGAGGGGTGGATAAGAGAGAGAGTGTAATGCATAGAATCTTTTAATAGATTTAGTAAACCTTACAAAATTTAAAGTTCGTTATGAAATTATTAAAAAAAAAAATTGTGTGTTTAGTATCACGAGAAGATGGTGATCCTGAAGGAGTTCGACGCTTAAACCTGACTCGTCTTCTTCTCCTGTACACCCGAAAATTTGAAGCAACTGACCCACTTGAAGCACTACACTACTGTTTCTTCCTCAGGTGTGTCTTTTAGTTTTAAAATTCTGTACATATACTGTACTGTACTGTATTTCTGTGACATTTGAAATGTTAGCCATATCTCTGTAAATATTAGTATATTTTTAAACTTTTCTTATACTGTACTGTACTGTATATCTGCTTCTGTCCAATACTGTTTGTCATTTTTCAATTTATTGGTCTTTCAATTTCTTATCTATACTCATCACCTAATTTGTACTGCATGAATCAAAAGGTGCATAAACCTTAAAGAAAGAAAGGATGTTGTTGGGGGAGAGGGTTGCAAGACAAGTGTAGAAAGTGAAAATCATTGCTTCATCACCTTAGGTCAGGTGTTTGGTTTCCTTATTTCTAGGAATTTTTCTAAATTTTGGCTTCAAATTTTTTTAATTGGTATTATCCTTATTTCTTATTTTTTCAATTTTCATTAAGTGACTAAAGTCAAGAATCAGACTAAATATGTTCTCACTGAAAGAAGTTTACTTTTTACAAAGCAGATTCATATGGATAGAGAGCCACCCTTGTGTAACAGTGGTAGCCCAGTGCCGGAGTAAGAGGGATGAGTACAGTAAGGCTTGATTTACTGAAATTGTCATACTCTAGTTTCAGAACTTTTTAGCCAGGTACTAAAGCATCATGCTGATAAATACTTGAAACTTGACTTTAGAGTTAGACTCAACTAAAGTGACTCGTAGGCATGTCTTTCCAGTGACCTTCACCTACATTAGCTAGTTGGTGATGACTGATCATCATAAGAGGAAATAATCCATAAACCTCTTAATTGTTTATTTTAATCACTCTATTTATTCATTTATTAAATATTTTTTATCCATGTTTTGAATAATTTTTTCTTTCTTAAACTTTGTTCAAAAGTATAACTACTGTATCACAATCTTTGGTGATAGCAACACAGGTTGGATAATAAGAAGTTGTAGTCGCAGTATTTCTTGTGTGCCAGAGTTTTCCTGAAAATTTTTTTCTGAATTTTGATTGAAGTGTGACAAGGTTTTGTTGTCAATGAAAAAATCTTATGTGAGATAAATTAACAGATCACTGAAGGGGAGAAATGGTGAAAGTGTGTTCTCTGGATGCATTAGTCAACTGGTGCTCCAATCACGAGAATTTGATTTGTTACTTGGGCGCTTGGAACCAGATGGTCGTCGCACTCCCGGCATCATTGATAAATTCAAGGTATATCTACAGGTGTTATTTTGGTACTGTACAGTGATCAGCTTTATGGTGTTTTTTTTTTGTTTTTTTTTCTTTAATAATTTAATTGTCAAATTTTTAAGAAGTCTCCAGACACATACTTGTTCCAACCATTTTCATGACAATGAAGTTTTCATCTTTTACCGCACATATGAGTGAAAAGTGGGATGAGTTGAATTTAGTACAGTAAAACCTCGATTAACCAACTTTCGGATTAACCGTCAATCCCGAACCCCTAATTTTTTTTTCTTTTTTTACGGGGAGTATCCCATCCGGGCACAGGTCACTGACCCACATTGGGGCCTGGGGGGCGATGATGTAATAATGATAATAATGATAATAATAATAATAATAATAATACTAATAGTAATAAAGAACCATAAAGAAATGCAAAAATTAAAAAAAAATCAAGAGTGAGAAACAATGTACATGTATGTACAGGTATGTTGTGTTGTCAATAGTAAGAGAAACAATTGAGTCCCTGCAATTGTGTGTAAATGAGGCAGAAAGTCAGATCAGCAACCTGGGACTTGGTCACAATTTTTGTGATGACATACAGTATGTTCTTTGACTTTTCCATTTTTTTATTCATGGTTTCTGTGCTGGTTCATATTTATTTACTAAAGTGGTTAATGTTTTAAAGCAAATTTTATTGAAATATGAATGGCAAATGGACAAAAATGAATAGAGGGAATTAAATGAGGTAGGTTTGGGAAAGGTACTTTGAAAGTGTATATTTTATTTCCTTAGACTTTATGTACTATTAACAGACCTTTTGGATTATCCGTCGGCCCCTTCCCCCCATATGTGGCCGGTTAATCGAGGTTTTACTGTAATACAGTGTTATCCCCGTTAGCCGGAACAATTGGTGCAGAGCACTTCCGGAGCCGAGACCTTTCTGGGTAAAAAGACAACTTTCTCAAACACAGAAAAATTCCTTATCCCCGGAACCTTTTTCGGTTACTGGGAAAAGCTTCCGAGTGTCTAAACTAGACATTTTGCACAGATGGACACTAGCCCACTTCCCTAGAGATTTCTGGGTGCTGGAGATGTTTTCCTTGAGTCTAAACTACCAGAATCTGTAAATACAGTTCTAATTAAGTTAGAAACTTCATTTCTTTACTACAATATTCCAGAATAGTTTATCTAAAAGTTTGATTAAATAGATATACTGTATTTAAAAACTGAAAATTGATAGGATATGGGTGTGAATGAAACTGTGTTACAGCAAAGACTGGTGTTTTCCACTCCCATGGAGCTGTGGGGGGTTAGTGAGTCTCGTGTAACTGACCTGACCTGATGCAATGTCAGGTGGAGGTAGGATGGGGGATTAGTGGTCTCATATTACTGACCTGATGGAATGTCAAGTCACCCTTTCTTGGATGGAGGATAAACAGAAAACCTAAAGTATTTTTAGAGAGATTGTGATAAGTACAGATATAAGTACAGTGGTCCCTCGGCTAACAAACGGTTCGATTAACGAAATTTCGGTTAACGAATTAGCTCCCATAAGGATCTTCAATTCGGTTAATGAACAAAACTTCAATTAACGAAATCCTTCCAACAAATACGTTTTGTTGTGAGCATCAGCTGATCGGCTAGTCCGCCACTACAGTAATCTGTTTTGTGTTTACATTCGTTTCCAGTGGAGTAAATATCAAGAAGGTTGTGTTCTTGAATATTTTTGCATTTTCTATATTAAAATTATTGGTCATTCTAAAATTTAGCCATCCAAGCTCTGTCTATATAAAGTTTTTCAACTAATATTTTTGGCTCGATTATGTAACTTTATTCATTTATTGAAACTCATTTACATGCACACACTGTCCTAAGGGCAAAGCTGTACTGTACATGTAATCAAAATAATGTACAAAATGATTACTAAAATTTTTGTCTAGTGCAAACTATAGCATGTTTACATTCAAATTAATCACTATCTTATAAGAATTCCAGCAATGTAAATTATATTCTCCCCGGTCACTTCTATGAATTTTTATAAGCAAAAACCTAAAACTAAATATAAAGGACTTAAATAAACAAAAATACTTCTCGAGACCTCTGCAAGTGTCAAACGGCGGAGGTGTGGTATATTTTGATTGACAGATAGTGTCCTTGAAGAATATATCTTTGTTTATTTATGCATTTTTTGGCTTTACTTTGTATGTACTTTTCTGTGAGCTGGAACCAATTACCCAATATTCCATTGAAATAATGGATTCGGTTAACAAAATTTTTGGTTAACGAACGACTCTGTGGAACGAATGTGTTCGTTAACCGAGGGACCACTGTATAAATGAGCAAAGTTGTATCCCTTCAACTTTATGTTACATAAAATTTTAAAATAAGGATTGAGAAAGCAGAAAGGTGTGGGTAATTAGAGAAATGGAGTAGAAATGATTGTTGCTAAGGGCTTTTCAACAGATGATATTTAACTCACTTCCATGCAGTCACACACGCACACAGATGTGGCTTGCAATAAGACCTTCACTCCTTATGCTTGCTGTCTTAATCCCCTTGTTGGGGGTGTGTGAGTGGTGTTGAAATGTGTGTGTGTGGAGGGGGATGTGATGTTGAGGTGTGTGTGGTTGTTGGAAGGTGTGTGTGTAATGTTGGGGGTGTGTATGATGTTGGGGTGTCTGATGTGTGGGGGTGGTGATGGTGTGGGTGAGGGTGGTGTTGGGGGTGTGTGTGGGTGATGTATTTTTGTGCTTGTTGTGTACGAGGGTGTGTATGGGTGGTTCTTGGAGGGTGTGTTTGTGTGTGATGTAGTGGGTGTACATTAAATGTAATTTGTGGGTGGTGTTGGTGTGTGTGTGGGTTTTGTGAGCTCAGTGTTGTTGACAGAAGCGAACCTTTTTTGGTGGTATAATCGCGTGGTTAGTCCCCCCCCTCCCATCCCTTCCTCACTCAAGCGTGGCTAATTGTGATAGGGAGATGAATTTGATACCATAACGATCCTTAATAAAATCTCTACGAAACGTTTCCAATAAGATATCCTTATTTAAAAAAAAATCTATAATATATATTGATGGGAATTCCAATCCTTTAAAAAAAAAAAATTTTGATACCGGAGTCAGTAAAGTCAGTTCTAATTTCGTTAGACACCAACTGTATTCAACATTTATATTTTTCATATGGGCCATTGAGTGGTAAAAAAAGAGTGCATCATAGGATTGAAAGATAATTTTGACCATGGTGAGTACAGTAATTTTGATGCATTTTAGCTGTAATTCGAGGTACAATATATCTAAAGAAAACTATTAGATATTTTAGGTAGTTACAGATTTAGAGAGGTGAACACTTAGTGATATAGTGGAGGAAGTGAGGGATTTTAGATATCTTGAATTGAATGTGTCAGTGAATTAAACAATGTGTAATGAATTAAACCACAGAAGACAGGAGCTAAAGTTGGAGGAGTTGCCTTGAGATATATATGAACAGAGACAATTGTGTCAAAGGATGCATAGATGGGGGTTTCTCGTGGAGTCCTTTAGCCAATATTATTATATGTGTATGCAGCATGGACTGTCGATGAAAGAAAAAGCATAATATAAGTGATAGAAATGATATGCAGCTTAGAGCAAATTGTGGAGTGAATTAGATACCGAGATTAAATGATACAGAATTAAGGAAATATCTAAATGAATGTGGTGAAGGGCTTATGAAGTGAGGGAGGTGGACATCCAGGATAGAACAGTGTATGTAAATTAGAGAAGAGCATGTCATCAAGTGGCTTATGCTGATGGATGATGCTAGGTTGTGTGAAGTGAGAGAGATGAACTAGATAAGATATCCTAAGGTCTGTTGAGGAAAGAGAGTACCATAAGAAAACATATCTGCTATAGTTCAAGCCATCTGTGGCATAGCAGGAAAGAGCTTGTTAGAGTTGGAAAAGGGAGAAAAATAGACAAAGCTTCAAGGTAGATATTGTCAGCTGCATGAAGTAGAGAATAAAAAAAAATTATGTAATTATATGTTTTCTCAATGGTAAGGCTTATGCTTCACGTATTGAAAGTACAGTAAGTCCTCGTTTAACGTTGCCCCCGATAACATTGTTTCGTTAAAACGTCACTATTCTTTAGATACCCATGATTCGGACAACATCCCGCCGATTTGGTAATAACGTCTTCACGGACTACTTTGTGCAGAGCATCGCCCTCTCTCATCTTGGCGAGCTACGCTCTCACCCGTGGAGCGTCACAGCGTCCTCAAGTGTTGCCAGCCTTTGTTAAGCTACCACAGCGTTCATGCTTGTTTAAGTGTTTTTGCTGTTAATACTGTACTCTAATCATTCGAAATGGCTTCCAAGCGCCTATCAAGTGCTACTGATGCTAGTGTCGTGAAGAAGCAACGTAAGACCATTAGCCTTGCTACGAAAATGGAGGTTTTAAAGCAGGAGGAGGAGCCACCCTCTGGGCCTCAGTGACTCGCCACCCTCCTCCTCCTCTCCCGCCCTCCTCCTCCTCTCCCGCCCTCCTCCTCCACTCCCCACCACACACTCACTCCACCACCTCCGTCCACCAGTAAGTACAACACAAAATGATCGACTTAATATTTATATATATGGTATACTATTTTCTATAAATAATGCCAATGAATTTCTGTATATACAGCCTATATATAATGCATTTAATGGGGCAAAGGGAGGCTGGGGAACGTATCTCCTGTATTGTATCTATTTCTTATGGGGAAAATTGATTCCATTAACGTTGTTTCCGTTAACGTCGCGGTTTTCAGGAACGTAACCACGATTTTAAGCGAGGACTTACTGTATATTGATATTACCAGGAGATTGAACACCTTAAGAAAATCTGGGCATCACATGTTGCTAAATTTGTGACTGTATGTTAATCATTTGGAAATATTTAATTTTCCCTTTTACCTGGTCTAAAATTTTTTATAGTTAATAGATTCAACCAAGTTGTGAACACTTATTTAGCATTTTGGACAGTACAAACTGTGACACAGTTTTCAGACTGTAATTGAAACATTAAAATTGCTTAACATTGTTTTTACAAATATGAAATTACCAATTTATTGAATTTTTTTATTATATACACACATTACCCCAAGTGTGTCTGATGTTTGTGTTTAGAACAGTACTGTACATAAGTTTTTTTTTATGTATTTACATGAATATTTATAGAAGTGAAATACACTTTCAGATTGATGTGAGTGAGGTAACGCAGATGGTGGCACAGGACTCGGAAAAAAAGGGGCTACATGAAGATGCAGTCAAGCTGTATGATCTTGCCCAGGTAAAGTTCATGGATGGAGGAGTTAACTATTTCACTGCTATAATATATTTTCTTACATGTTGGGGGTGTGTGTTTTACCTATGAAGTTGGTATGAGGGGGTTACATGTATAAAGATAAAACTTATTTATTTCAGTGTTCTCTTTGTTCAAGTGAAATGAGAGTCAAAATGATTGGGAAAAAAATCCATGGTCACATAAACTCATATTTTTTTTGTTCGGATTTCATCCTGAGCACCATACAGGTATCTGTCACTATATGAACATTCACTTTACGAATACTTACTTACATGAATATAATATTCTTACACAAAAGTTATTCTTGGTTATACGAATTACAGTCCGATAAAATAATGTACCATCTTTATGTTTTATTAAAAAAAATTATGTTGTAGGTACAGTAGTTTTATTCATTAATGTAATTAATTAAAGGATAGATTTTTTAGGTAATTTAGATATATGAAATGATAGAGGCTAGAACAGATTACCTGGAGTGTGTATATGAGTGAGTTAATGAGAAGACAGTGGGTGACCAAGAGTTATGTGGTGGAAGAGATGTGGATGATGAAGGGGTCAGTAGTGAAATTTTATGAGGGAGGCAGTAGTTGGTGATGAAATAAAGAGTGTATGGAGAGAAGTGTCCTAGATAGTGGCAAGTAAGAGATAAATTAAATATATTTTAGTGCTTTGAATATGCTCATTTTTAATCTACAGAATCATGACAAAGTAGTGTCATTGCTGAACCAACTGCTGAGTCAAGTGGTGCACCAGAGTGAAGGTGGCAGTGGTAGTCAGCGTGGACGTGTTGTTGATTTGGCAACTGCTGTGGCATTGCGCTTCAAGACTCACGGTCACAACACTCATCCTAATAATTCTGCTACACTGTATCTTCTCCTAGACCTCACCACTTTCTTTGATCTGTACCATAAAGAAAGGTTTATGGAAGCTCTTGAGGTAAGTTGGCATTTTTGTTTACCAAAAAGAGTCACAAATGGATAACTTAAGCAAGTGCATGTGACATGGCTGGGCATTAAAGTTGCAGTCATGTTCACTGTGAATTACTGGAGGATCTTGCCCAAGCAACCCTCATTACTTGAACGTTTTTTCTTATTTCTTACTATGCAACTCATCAGTAGCTTTATCATCTGTCTGTTGTTCACCAATACTTCTGCTTCATGAACTGTCTCAGTGGATGATGACCAATCAAGGCTGGTTGCTGTATCTCTTAACTTGAGAAGGCAAAATCAGGAGAGAGACAGACAACCTATCAGACTTATTGTGCATCTCCATAAATGGGGGGAGTTTTATAGCATATCTCTCTTGCAGGCATTTTTAGACTTCGGTGCCTAGTCTGATTGTCTTGGATATACAGTAAGCTCATATTTTCATTCACTTAGATTAAAACTGAAAGAAGTTTGGAATCTTATCCTGAGGAAATTAAGTATCAACACCAAGGAATTTTCAATAGTTCTGATGGTGATTAGCCACTTACAGAGTGGGGGAAAATTATGATTTTTTTTATTTTCGCTTCAATAATTTTAATTTTTTCATCGCTTATTGGTATATGAAAATAATAATTTCTCCATCTTATTGAGAGTTAAATAAAATAAAATGTAGGTAAATGCATATCATACATTATTAAGACAGAGGTAGCCATGTAACTCAACATAAAACTGATAAATGATAATGCTTGATTACAGCCTACTGATATCTCAATTAATAAAACACATAATTATCCAAAGGAACTTGAAATAGATCTGATCAAACTTATCTCTGTAACAAAATTTGTATGAAGAAATAATGGGCATTTTAACTTCCTGGTAAGATGAACAAAGAGCAAGCCTTAAAAGATTTAACATTCCTTAGAAGTGATTTACATGTAAAATTCTCTTTTGATTATATATCAGTTTAATGAGATAAAATTGGAAAGAAATTAAGAATTATTTGAATAGCATTTTGCAATTGTAGATTGGATGATAATTTTCTCAATTTCTTAATTAAACATACTACTTAGTAACATTCTCATTTTGTTTAACTATAGTGCATTTTTTCCCAGCTGAGAAGGAATGCTCTGCCCCCTCCTCAAGAATTACAGTCGATTGGCTGTTGTAAATCTGTCCGATTTCTTCCTGAAGTAATGATGTACAGTGGTCCCTCGGTTAACGAACACAATTCGTTCCAGAAGGTGGTTCGTTAACCGAAACCATTGTTTCAATGGGATTTTGGGTAATTGGTTCCAGCTCACTGAAAAATATATACAGAGTAAAGCCAAAAACGCGTAAAGTCAGAAACACTCCTAAAATTCCCCTAAATCGCCCTTAAATTACTATATATATATATGTATATATATAAATATATATATATATATATATATATATATATATATATATATACATTAGTACCCCGATTTATCGGTCAATTGAACCCACAGGGTACCGCGGAAAGTGAAAACCACATAAAGTGAGCAACAGAACATATGGGATTAATTCCAATAGAGACTGGCCCGACCCCCAAACTCCACTTTTTCCGACACAATACCTATGTTGTAGTAAAAATAACATCTAAATTTTATGATGGTATGCTCACACAATTAATATTTAAGAGAAATACAGTCGCCAGGTTAATGTCCATTCAAATAATGGACTCAAATCCCCCCCCCCTCTTCCCAGCTCACTAGCTCCTACCTCTCTCAGAAATGTTTGGGTGAAACCACTAGATTTTAACGTTTAGTAATAAATAATACCTCAGACTAAAGTTAGGATAATATAATTGACATTTCTGGATTCCTTGCAGGTCAGGGAATATTTTGAATGTAAACTTCATATATTTTGCACAAAAGATAAAATATTTGCTTTGTGTAAACCAAATTATTACATTAGATCTAAAATTTGTATGTCTAATGCAAAATCCATGATGTTTATATTCAAAATGATCATCATATTGTAAGAATTCCAGCAATGTAAATTATATTCTGGCCGAGTAATTTGTATGAATTTTATGAGCTAAAACAAATATCTTCAGGTAATAAAAAAAAAATATTCTTCACGACACTATCTGTCAATCAAAGTACCCCACCTTGCCTCCCCCCCTCCTCACACTCACGCCAGCTGGGTCGGTCGGTCCCAACCCTCCCCCCCACCCCCCACCTTCCCTCCCTACCAGAGAAATGTTTGGGTGAAAAAACTAGATTTTAACTTTTAGTAATAAATAATACCTCAGACTAAAGTTAGGATAATATAATTGACATTTCTGGATTCCTTGCAGGTCAGGGAATATTTTGAATGTAAACTTCATATATTTTGCACAAAAGATAAAATATTTGCTTTGTGTAAACCAAATTATTACATTAGATCTAAAATTTGTATGTCTAATGCAAAATCCATGATGTTTATATTCAAAATGATCATCATATTGTAAGAATTCCAGCAATGTAAATTATATTCTGGCCGGGTAATTTGTATGAATTTTATGAGCTAAAACAAATATCTTAAGTAAATAAACAAAGATATATTCTTCAAGGACACTATCTGTCAATCAAAATATACCCCACCTCCGCCGTTTGACACTTGCGGAGGTCTCGAGAAGTATTTTTGTTTATTTAAGTCCTTTATATTTAGTTTTAGGTTTTTGCTTATAAAAATTCATAGAAGTGACCGGGGAGAATATAATTTACATTGCTGGAATTCTTATAAGATAGTGATTAATTTGAATGTAAACATGCCATAGGTTGCACTAGACAAAAATTTTAGTAATTATTTTATACATTATTCTGATTACTGTACATGTACAGTTCAGTTTTGTCCTTAGGACAGTATGGGCATGTAAATGAGTTTCAATAAATGAATAAAGTTACATATTTTTTGATAAAATCACACGGGAAAATGGAAACAACGGAGTTTCCATTTTCCCGTGTGATTTTATCAAGATTTATCTTATCCACGTTTTCATTGTGGATTTACATGAAAGTTACATATATTGAGCCAAAATTATTAGTTGAAGAACTTTATATAGACAGAGCTTGGATGGCTGAATTTTAGAATGACCAATAATTTTGATACTGTATAAAAAAATGCACACATTAAAGAGCACAATTTTCTTGATATTTACTCCATTGGAAACGAATGTAAACATAGACGAGATTACTGAATTAGCTGAGTACCTCCTCAGATTATCAGCTGATGTTCAAAGCAAAACGTGATTTTCATAAGGATTTCGTTAATCGAATTGTTTTTCGTTAACCGAATTGAAGATTATTATGGAAGGTAATTCGTTAACCGAATTGAAGATTCTTATGGAAGGTAATTCGTAAACGAAATTTCGTTAACCGAGGCGTTTGTTAACCGAGGGACCACTGTATTTCTAAATGAGTTTATTCATAATCGTTTCGATGACCGTTTCTGACGAGAAAGATATTTAGCTAAATTATATAAAGATACATGCATTCATTATTTCAAACACGAGCACATAGAAAGTTTATCAGAAATCTTATAAACGAATTTACTGTTAAACTCTGGTAGCAAATTCACGCTTTCGGAGGACACATTTAATACATACAGGTGCTTATTTTTACCCACAATAAGGCATACTAAGACAAATTACGAATCAGTATTACTACATTATGTAAAAACTTACAATTTAAAAGATCAGAATCACATTGAAATAATACAGAGCCCCTGGAAGTTGGTGGATATACTGTATATACATACATATACTGTGTGTATATATATATATAGTATATATATATATATATATACTGTATATATATATATATATATATATATATATATATATATATATATATATATATATATATATATATATATATATATATATATATATATATATATATATATATATATATATATATATATATATATATATATATATATATATATATATATATATATATATACTATATATATATAATTATTTTTTAAAACTTTTCAGCTTTAGAGGAAGTATTTTTGGTATTCCAAAAAAGTTTACCTTATATTATGGCTTGCTAATTAATTTGTTAATGATAAGGAAAATTTTATTCTTTCTTCAGGTTTTGAAAAAGCTGCGTCTAATTGCTTTAAGACAAGACGAGGTGGAGGCTCGCGTAGCTGGGATCACTGCTCAAGGAAGTGAAGTACGAAGTGTACTCCCGCATGTTCTCCTGGCGGCAATGACTACGACCCATCGCTTGTATCGCATGCCCGCTCAACCACAGTCTCCACAAACCTCCTTTAATGCATCTACTACAGGGGCTTCTCCAGCCACCAAGGTATGATAATTTGGTAGGGAAAAAAAAAAAAGTATAAATTAAAGACTTCAAAATACAGCAGTCTCTTGCAAATGTTTGAGGTTCAGTATAAAAAGGGATAAAAAAGACTAAAATCATACATCTACAAGATTAACTTATTGCAAATATGGAATTAGGTTTGGATTCCACAAAATATTCAACCTACCGTATATCTCGGCCTACAAGACGGAATTTAAACAAAAAAAAAATCAGCCCAAAGTTAGGGGGTCGTCTTAAGCACCAGAGATAAAATTCTTACCTCTTAAATTTTGCGGTTTAGCGTGTCAAGAGTGGTGATGGAAACATGGTAAACCACTCACAAGGTCCTACCACTAATTATTTTATACTGAAACTTACATTTGGGAAGCTGGATTAAAATGAAGATTACCGGTATATTAAAATAATAAAAATGTATTATAAACCAGTCTAACATACCGTAAAACAACAATATACCCCGGTAATAAACACAGCTGCTATCATCACCCCCCCCCCCCATTTGCCAGTGACGAGAAAGGGAAAGCGACCTTGACAGTGACCGCCTGTGGCTATTTTTAGCCGTCCTTGTGTTCGGAGGTGGTCAGTAATGCATATCTGTATATTTACTGATCATAATACTTATCTCCTATAAATAATTAATTTAAAATTAATTTTTTTACAAAGAATATTCAGTAAATGACTGCGTTAATTCTTGAAACTACCGACAGTGGTAAATTTAGGATGAGAATGATGAACAGAAGTCACGTCATGGATTCGGAGTTTGGTCCTTAATGATCATAAATGTCTGGTCAACTTCACCTACCAGGTATAATGGTAGCCTTCCTTTTTCGCGAAACAAGTATATAATTAAAGAAAATACTTGCAGTGTGTTTAATGTATTACAATATATTATAGCTAAATAAATAAACAAATAAATCGGCAAATCTATTTCAAGTAAATGGAAATATTTTACTCACACCAACATTAGTTCCAGTTAAATAACTGACGCTTAAGTGAGTCACTAGTGTATACCAGCGGGTAAAATTTGATGCCAATACTTGAAGTGAATTAGCATTATTTTAAATAACCAACCATAAATAAATGGAAAAAAGATCAAAGGTGAAACATTATATTGTATGTATGTTGTGTTGTCAAAGGAAGAGAAACAATTGAAACTCAGCAATTGTGTGTAAATGAGGCAGAAAGATAGATCAGCAACATAAGACTTGGTCACAATTTTCGTGATGCCATATGGAAGTAGGGTCTACCATTAGACAATACTGTACTGTACATTGTGCTTCCAATATCTTCCCAGGCGGTAGTATCTCCCTGTTTGGTAGCTGCCTAAAACTTTTAGTAATATTACTTTGATACAACATGATAAATTAGACAAACAATGAAAATAAACAAACAAAAGTTATTTACCAAGACCTTCTCTCTCAGAACAGAGGGGAGATAAGACGGCTATTTATAGCCTGTCTTTGTGTAGGAAGTCGACCACACTAGAAATAATTCATTTAAAATTTATATTTTTTACATAGAATATTCAGTACATGACTGCAATTATAAAATATTGTGAATATATATATATATATATATATATATATATATATATATATATATATATATATATATATATATATATATATATATATATATATATATATATATATATATATATATATATATATATATATATATATATTTGTGTAATAAATGTATGTAGTAAGTATGTACAGTAATCTTTTTCACTCAAATCCTAATTAAACACTATTGAATTAGAATACTGTAGCTCGCTGAAGCAAGCTTATAAATTAAAGAAAATACTTCCAGTGTGTTTAATATATTACAGTATGATATAAATAAACAAATAAATCGGTAAATCCATTTTAAGTAAATGAAACAATTGTATTCGACACCGACATTAGTTCAAGTTAAATAACAAACTTTTAAGTGAGTCACTAGTGTTTACACTACACCAACCAGTAAAATTTGATGCCATTACTTGAAGTGAATTGGCTTTATTTTAAAAAACCAAGGATGTGTAAACAGCACTGGTCAATGGGATGGTTGGTAAAGGACTACTGGGTCAGTAAGCTCCCAATGGTAAGTGTCACATTTGGGGTACCGGTCTTATACAGCGAATAGGGCTCAAAAGCTACTTTTTAAATGGAAATTTTGGGGGCCGTCTTATACACCCCGTCGCCTTGTAGGCCGAGATATACGGTACAGTAGAAGTTTTTAACCGTCTTCTGCATGCAATAAATTTTTAAATTCCCGTGACCACAACAAAAGTCATATGGTACCTGTCATCTCCAGTTATATGCAGTGTGGGCTATGTTCTGCAGCCAATTTATCCCCCCTTTTTATTTTTGTAAGATTTATACACCACTGGCTTCATTGTTGTTTTGGCGATAACATAAGCAGAAAAAAATGAATCGACAATAAGACTACAGTGGCCTCGTGAGTTCCACACAGCTCGAATTCTGCAACTCACGATTTTCATGCGAGACCCTAAATTCCCTTCCTTGCGACATCCGTGCACCATCCTCCTGAATTTCACATTCCTTGTACAGTAGAACGTTGATATAACACGAGATACATTCCAAGAGAGGTTGCTTTCAACCGAATTTGCACTAAATCGAAGTGTTGTTTCAATGGAATAATTTAGTTTGGTACTTGAGAGAAACACAAAATAGTAAAAAGACTGAGAGTCTACCCAGATGCACCTCAGCCCATCTCTTAGAATAAACAAAACATTGTTTTTGCAGTGCAGGTTGACAATCCCTTAACCGAAATCCTTGGGGACAGAGGCATTTCGGATTTCGGAATTTTTCGGTTTTCAGAATGGTTAGGTTTTTTTTTTTTTTTTTTTTTTTTTTTTTTTTAAAGCCAGGCAAGTCACTGACCCACATTGGGGCCTGGGGGGCGAAAATATATTAAAATTTATAATAATAATAATTATAATAATAATAATAATAATAATAATTCATAGGTCCAGGTCATGTTTCTCACTTTTGATCTTTTTTCATTCTTGTATTTCTTTATTATTATTATTTTATTATTACAGTATTATTGTTATCATTATTATTTTATTTTGGTGTATTTTTTATTATAATTTTTATTGACTATGAATAATTATTATTATAATTATTATTACTATTACATTTTCGCCCCCCAGGCCCCGATGTGTGTCAGTGATCTATGCCCGGGTGGGCTAATCCATGTAAAAAAAAAAAAAAAAGTTTTGCCCCACAAAAAAAAAAACTTTCGGTTTTCAGAGCTTTTCGGTTTTCGGAATTTCGGATAAAGGGTTGTCAACCTGTAGTATGCTAAAGCAAATACCTGCACTCATAAATCAACAAAGCTAAAATTAAAGGATGCAAAATGGTCTGTTTACTAGCATCAGCTGATGTGGGAGGGTGGTTGCGCTTGCACTGTACACCGCCCGCCTCTCGTCTGACTCACCAAGCACTTTCACTTTCCTCTCAACTTAGTTTTTAATTACTTTATGCTGTCAAAAATAGATTTTTACTCAACTTTACTTCGGCAATTCATCCTCTGAAGATGCAGAGCCCAACTCGACCAGCTCATTATCCACATCACTGTCCAAATTGGCGCCCCACACTTGAAGTACCATTTCCTCGCTGCAGTGCTTTCAGCACCTTGATTCTCTGCTCCAGTGTAATTGCTTGCCTTGATTTGGTCTTTTAGGTAGTTAATGATGTAGTGGCTGGCCTCTTGGACATAGTGGCGAGGGTTGATGCACATGGTAGAAGGAGATAGTGTCCGTTCACTAGAGTGTCAGTGTTGGAACTGGGGATGTTTGAGGGTGTGGGAGGCTGGCGGGCAGCTGTGTAGCATGCCCAGAGACGCGTCTGGCGGTAAACATTAGGTGCAAAATTTGAAATACCTCCTAGTGTGCATTTCCATATGATGCACCAGATTGACTCGCTTAAAATAGGAAAAATTTTGCTTTAAATTAATACACATTGTCCTTAATTGTGGGTGTTGCTTTAAATCAATAATTTTAAATTGAATTGCTTTAAATCAATGTTCTACTGTACTATTAAAATGGGTTTTTTACCTTCTACCAATGAGTTTGTGTTTAAACCTTTGTTAAATTATAGGGTAAATATTATTCTGTGATACATTAGATTTTTTTTTACATAAAATATAGTTTGTTAACACAAGACTGTAATAAACACTAAACTTTGTACCTAATACATAAAAATACAATGCTGGGGGTCCTCGTTATCCATGGTGAATGCCTCTGATAACGAATCCACATAAAGCGGGGAATTAATCCCATAAGAAATGATGGAAATAGGTCAAATTGGGACCATGACATTGTACATGACACTCAAAAAAATTACACGATATCTTTTAACAATTATTTACCTTAGAAACATTTGTGTACACTCACTCCAGTAGTTTGAGACAAAATATTTATTATAATGTTTTAAAAATAAATAATGTTAACCTAATAAAATATATGTATTTACTTAGCTTCAAAGGTAGAGATGTTTGGCTTGATTGGATTGATGGAAGTGGGTGTTGGGAGAGGAGGATTAGTTGGAAGATGAAAAAGAAACAACAAGGTGGATTGTCCATTGCCTAATCACTTCTAATTTTACATCTACAGTGGTCCCTCGGTTAACGAACACAATTCGTTCCAGAAGGTCGTTCGTTAACCGAAAATTTCGTTAACCGAAACCATTGTTTCAATGGGATTTTGGGTAATTGGTTCCAACTCACTGAAAATTACATACACACTAAAAATAAATGCAGTAAAGTACACTTACTTTGAGGTGTGCATGTAGAAAGCTCCTGGTTGATGATGATGATGATGATGATGGGAATTAGAAGTGGGGGTGGAGGAGAAGGGAGAAGAGAAGGCAGTGGGGGTGGAAGAGAAGTCACCCCATGCATTTTAAGTTCACTTGGTGTAATTCAAGATTATTTTCTTTAAATCAACACTGCACTGCACTATATATTGTCATTATGTAAAATTAATTTCAGAATGACCAATTATTGTACTGTAAAAACATAAAAATAGTTTGTGTTCAAGAGAGTCTCAAGCAAGATGCTTCCTCCACTAAGCATAGACACAAACTGACGCCATTCTGGGTGAGTCAAGTGGCTGTTTGGCGCGCTAAAAACTAGTTCCCTGTACTTCAATTATGTTACATAATTGTTAAAATGACTAAAATTTTAATATAAGACTTGGAAAATTATTGAATAGTACAACCTTCTTGATATTTACTCAATTGGAAACGAATTTAAGCCCTAAAACCGATTACTGTATTGGCGGACTAATACTCCAGCTGGTGAGCAGGCGAAAACATGTTGACACGATTTCGTAAGGATTTTGTTAACCGAATTTTTGTTCGTTAATCGAGTTGAAGATTCTTCTGGAAGGTAATTCGTTAACCGAAATTTCGTTAACCAAGATGTTCGTTAACCGAGGGATCACTGTATACTATAGCTAGTGTGCTTCCTTTTGAGCACTGCACCACCCTGTTTGGGTTAGGAATTCATTGCTACAAAAATAATAAAATAATTTACCACAGCATACACGAAAAGACACAACAAAGGCAGGGGTAAACACAACACAGCACTGGTCTGGATGAAACAAAGCGGGAGACTGGTGCGGCGACATGTGTGTCTGTGTGCATGCTTAACACCAGGAAGAGGATGACATTTCAAATGCTTTGGCTAAAAATACGTAGATTTTATCAGGAGTTTTCAGAGTTTTTGAATGGAATTCACTTAAATGCAATGACTTTTTATGTGGATGGTCACAAAAAGTTGACCATTAACTGCTTAACTGCGGATAGTGAATACTTTTACAATGAGGACCTCCTGGCTGGTTCTTTAGCCATTTGTCTATGTGAACATATCACCAAGAACTTACAGGGCATACCATACAATAACTCATCTGGGGTTGAGTGTGGGAATTTTTTTTTTTTTTTAATATTTACTTTAATGATTTATTAACCCGCCATCAAATGAATCCAAGTAATGTAGGAATTATGGTTAAATTACATAGTGTATAGTGTCGTTTTAATGGGGTTGGGCTTACATAAGTCTCCCAGAGGGGGAACTTTTGTCGAGTCATTCCAACCTCAACTGCTATACATACCTACTGTACTTCCCTTCACATAAATCCCTTCCACTCATTATTTTTGTTATTTTAATGTTGTATTACATATTTTCCTTTTTATATTAGAGTGTTTTTTAAATTAGGGGAGTGAAGGTGGCTGAAAGGATAAAAAAAACAGAGACTTTAGTATGAGTGCCAGAAAGAACAAGCACATTTAACATGTAAACATATACAGTATTGCGAGTTCCATGAATCGGTAATTCTGTGCGGGATCCCCGGTACAAAAGCAATCACAAAACTCTCGGGGGCCCACAGTATATTATTTCACTCCAAGTAAAGAAAAAATTAATAATTACTTGTGTTCCCAACATCATATCTTGGATATTATCTCACAAATTTACCAAGGTATTATCATAGTTATACAAGTGGAATTCTATTAGCTTTCTAACGGTGGTTGTTTGAATTTTGATATGACTAATAATGGATGGGTGGGAAAGGAGAAAAGGGACAAATGTGACCTACCAGCACAGCTGACAGGAGGAGACTGAAGGACAGCGCAATTTCACCCATGCTTTGGCACTTTGGAAGCTTCCGACATGATATCATGTAGTGATCTATGAAGACAATTATCTTGAAATTTTTTGGGGGGTTAATTTTTAATAGTCTAATGACATGTCAGCAATGCAAACAGTGCTACAATGATTTGACATAATTTGCATCATGATGCACAGTAGGGTTGCATTAAATTTTTAGCTTTAAAACGTTGGTAAACATTCACATTAAGTATTAAGTAGTGTAATGTATAGTACAAATAAGTAAATTTAGCTCATGAATATTTTAGAGATAGTGGTGCATGGTGGTAGTGATGGTTGAGTCAACTAGTCATTATGCCTTTACAATCCCTCTCTAACTATGGAATCTTAAATACTGTACTGTATATACTTTTAAAGCAAGATACAGTAGAAGTCCAAAAATCCGGACTGCTTGGGGATTGGGTCGGTCCGGATTTTCGGATTTCCGGATTCTCAGGCAGTACTTTTAAAATTCAAATTTAAGGAGGAATAAACAAGAGATGAACAGGTACACTTTGATAGTTTATTCATTAGCAAATATAGCATGCTTCATTTATCAAAAAGAGCAGTTTTAAAGAAAAAGCTGTGAATTCCAGAATTTTATTCTTTGCCTTTTTTATATCATAAATTGTAGACTTTACAATGTCGTATGTTTCCATTAAAACAGTATTGCTCACACCACGTTCTAGTTTCTTAATTATTTCAAGTTTGTCACTCAATTTCAATGTGTTCTTCTTTCTCTTCACACAACGAAATTTATCTACTTTAGGAGCCATTATTATGGGCTTGTACAGTACTCTGTAAATGGAAAGAGTAGGACTCAAAATTAAATATGCTGTCACAGTTTGATTGCTCATTTTAAAGTGGCGACCACGTGGTCGCTTGTTGTCGTTGTGCAGCTGTGGCGCTCACGCGTGCGCACATACACACAAAAGCCCGCTAAAAAAAAAAAGTTTTCGAAAAGTCCGGATTTTTGGACTTTTACTGTAGACATTCATATTCAATGAAGGTACTGTATTATTATTTAAATATCAATAGATGCAGGTCATATATGCATGTACAATTGCCTTCAGGTGTAATATTACCCCCTACCAAGCCTTCCTTGGTCATTTGGCAACGTCGCATTTGTGGGGCTAGGGAACTGAATTATATGGTTGTTAATTGTTAGTGCATGTCTTTCCTAGTACAGTATTTATATATTAATAATTGAAAGAACAATCATCAAAGCAAATAATACATATTTTGGAATCTGTGATATAACTTGAGGGTATACAGTGGGGTATGCTATAACGAACGGATCCTACTACAAATATTCCTATAACGAACAGTTTTACCTATAAAATTGAGAATGCTATAACGAACGAAACTCCTACAACGAACATTATTTAAAATTTTTTTTTTTTTTTTTTAATAATTTATTGTTTTTTTATTACAAGTATTAATGATGTTCTTTATTTCAGGGGTTTAGATGCATATTTATGCACTTTTTTACAATTGTTACAATTTTATATTATATTTTTCAGTGTTAATTGGTTGTATTTGGGGGCCTGGAACGAATTAATCCTATAACGAACGAATGCTATAACCAACAAGGTTCTAGAACCAATTAGATTCGTTATAGCATACCCCACTGTACTGTACTTACATTTTTTCAACATTTTGTTGCCTTGTCCTTTCATTTTCAAGTCATATTACAAATTGCATAGAGTATTGTATTTTTTCTCTATTACTGAAGATGTTATATTAATCATGATGAACCATAAGAGGCCAATCATATGAGGATATAATACTGAATCAATAAATAAATAAACCTGACAAATGTGGCAATACCTGATCAGCTCCAGCCTGCATACATACTCAAGTGTCTTATTTCTCAGCTGGCCTATAGCAAATCTGATTAGTTTTAAGAAATGGGGAAGATTAAATAAAAAAAAAATCTTATGAAATGAACAACACTTACTGAATACTGTACTGTTTAATGTCTTGTAACTTCTCTCCCTGACAGCACCTTCAAGAACAAGCTCAAGCCATTGTGGCATTTGCAGGGATGATCCCCATGAGACTACACTCTGAGATAAATGCACGCCTGGTACAGTTGGAGGCTCTTATTAATTAATGGGTGTCTGTGTCCGTATATTAAGCTTTTTTCTTTTGCTCTTGATGACTGGCTCTTGATAATCTTTGATGATTTAGCAGAAATATAAAGGATAAGAAATCTTTTTTGAAAGAAAATTTAGAATACTGTACTTAGATATAAGTGTTTGTATGATAAATTTCCAGATTAAATGCAATGAATACTTGGTTATGACCGAAAAAAGGAAGCAATTGTTTCAAAATTAATTATTTCAGTTTTGCAAATGAAAAGTCATAGAATATAACTTATTAATTATTCCAGTATACTGTATTGCCAATATTATGAAATAAAAAATCAGTACAGTCTACAATTTTAATGAATACAAAGCTCAAAACAATGGTGTCATGTGTCAGTACTCTGTTAACTCTCGTGTAGCTGGTGTCTGTACTAAACTCTTCTGTTATGCAATAAATAAGGATGGAAACTTGAAATATCATATAATGTTAACCCTCATTTTCTAAGGAAATGCTAAGTGATTTTGACTGGTTTTAAATGGTTAATGAATCTGTCAGATAATTTCAATATTCTGCAATCTTTGTGATTAGCCGATCAGTTTTATCATTCCCATATTTCTTGTAAACTTTTAGTTTTAGTGTGTTTTATAAGAGTTATTGATGCGTCATAACTACAATATATTCAGTAGTCCTTTATCTCTTGGAGTCCCTGGTACCCCTGGGAGGGCCTCTGCCTCTCTTGGGAGGGCTCCCTGGGAGCCCTGCTGGCCCCGGCGAGGGCCCCTGTGACCCTACTGCTGCCTGGGGCCCCAATGCTTCTTGGTATGGCTTCTGGAGGCCCTGCTGCCCCATGAGAGGGGTCCCCTGGGGTGCTGCCTTCCCCTTGGGACCTCCTGTTCTCTGGGAGGGACCTTAGGGCCACTTGGGAAAGCTCTTGGGATCCTTACAGCCCCTGGGGCCCCTGTTGCCCCCTGTGAGGGCCCTTGGGAGACTTGTCGCTTCCTGAGAGGGCCCTACCGCTCCCTGAGAGGGCCCTGCCACTCCCTGGGAGGAACACTGTCGCCTTACCAAAATATTAAGCCTTATATCATAGTAATTTTTTGCCCGAAATATACTTTTCTCTTGGCATTGGAATTTAAAGGGTTTAACTAATTAAGTACTTCCAGAATAACACCAAACACCAAAATCTCACCTCGGAGACACATAGTTGGCGAGTAATTGGCATTGAAATAATGTAATTAGAATGTTCCACGGGGAGGAGGGTTCCAGGGGCCCTCCCAAGGAGCTTCAGGGGCCCTCCCATGGTGGTCTGTACCCGCCCAGGGGGTGGCAAGGGCCTTCCAGGGGGCAGGGCACACAGGGTTCCTCCCAGAGGGGCCATCTCAGAGGGGGCAGGGCCCACAAGTATTCTCCCAGAGGGGTCATGGCCAACAGAGGCTCTCCCAGAGGGGTCAGGGACCACAGGGGCCCTTCCAAGGGGGGCAGGGCCACCTGGAAGCCCTCCCAGGGGGCATCAGGGCCCTCGCAGTAAGTGGCAAGGCTCCTAGGGGCACACCCAGGGGGCAGCAAGGCTCACAGGGGGAGCCATGGTCCCCTCTAAGGGCTCTCCCAGGGGTGGCATGGCCCACAGGAGCCCTCCCAGGAGGGCAGGGCCCACCTAGGGGGGAAGGACCCACAGGGACCTACCAAGGGGGCTGTAGGGCCCTCGGAGGCGATAAGGCCCAGAGGGGCCCTCACAGGGGGAGGCATGGCCCTTAGAGGCCCTCCCAGGGGTAGCAGGGCTCACAGGAGAGGCATGGCCCCTAAGGGCCCTCCTAGGGGACTCTTGGAGTTCCTGCCACCCCCTGGCAGCCCTGTCGCTACCTGGGAGGGCCTCTACTGCCTCCTGGGGCCCCATTGCTTCTTGGGAGGGTCCCTGGAGTAATTAGTATTGCAAAAGTAATTAAAATTTTCTAAAAATCACTTGAACAGGCAATAATCCAGATATCAAATTTTGGTTAACAGATCCTTAAGCAGCATGTTCAGGAGTACCTATACTGAGATTTTGAACAAAATCTATTTTTTGGACGAAATGCCATAATTGTAAGGCTTAACCCTTACAGGATTTTTGGCCAAAAATACTTTTTCTTTCAGAACTAAAATTTAATGTGCTTAACTACTTAAGTACATCCAGGGTGGGCCAAGTGGTCCAGGTTGGGCCAGGTTGGGCCAGGGGTGGCAAGGTTGGGCCAGGGTGGACTTTTTGTGAAATATTACCTAATTTTGCGAAGTAGATTATCATAGAAAACAGGAAATTTGTATCGTAAAAAATGGGATCTACTTTCCGGGAGAGTTGGTTATCTACTTTCCCGAAAAGTAGATTTTCTACTTTTCGAGAAAGTAGATTAATGACTTAGGGGAAGTAGAGTATCGACTTTTTGGGAAATATTACCAAATTTTGTGAAGTAGATTATCATAGAAAATGGGAAATATCTACTTTCTGGGAAAGTAGATTATCGACTTTTCGGGGAAGTAGATTAAACGACTTTTTGGGAAAGTAGATAACCAACTTTCCCAGAAAGTAGATATTTCCCATTTTCTATGATAAGTAGATAACCAACTTTCCCAGAAAGTAGATATTTCCCATTTTCTGTGATACAAATTTCCCGGCTAACGAGCCGCTCTTGAATGTGTGTGTGTGTAGAAACACACACAGACAAAAACAAAACACATACAAACAATTAATAATGGGAAATTCCTCTCACAAATAATCAGAAACAAAACAAAATGTAGTAAAAACATTAGTCTTCCCCTAAGTCAACAGACTCAACACCATGCTTTGTTAATACATTTTTGTTGTCTTGTTTTTGATTATTTGTGAGATGAGTTTTCCATTATTATTTAGTTGTGCGTGTCTATACACACACACACACACACACATATATATATATATATATATATATATATATATATATATATATATATATATATATATATATAAAAGAAATAATTTTCCTAAGGACAAACACAAAGAGAATAGCATACATTTCTTTGCACACGAGTAAAAATGTACCCCTACTGTTATGTTCTGGATAATAAGTTCAATATACAGGAGAGAACATAAACACCTGTATAGATTTTGTAGGTTCGATTTACTGGATCAGAGATATGTACACAGAGGGAAGCACCGCTCCTCAGCTTGGCTGCTTGTCAACTGTTCTATAGACGACGTATGGCAAGTGATACATTAGCAGCTTCCATACGTCGCCAGGCACATTAATTAAGCATGTGGGATATGGTAATTACATTGCCACACACTGCTAGCTAGGCTGAATAAATAGTACATAAATGGAGCACATACATAATATATATACATAATATATAATCCAGCATACATAATATACATACACCTACCACCTGGTCAGCAAATGTTATTTGTGGATTTGGCTATTCGCGGCCAGTTTGAGAACCTAACCTCTGAGAGTTTTAAGGGCATGCTGGGCTGTACTTACTCTGGTGGCTGTTGTCAAAATACGGGTAATGGCGTCCATTAGTGCAGTAGAGTGTTTGGCACGGCTTTGACAAACACCAATCAACAGAGCCACACATCCACCAACTTCCTCAATCTTGGTCACCTCTGTATGTACACCTTTGCTCTGTTAGACAAAATGATAAGTATCAATATCTTCAGTACACGCTCACTAAAATGTACTTAAGAGGCATATTAATCGACATTTAGCAAGAGCCATGATTATTTGAATTAGTCAGTTGTTGCATTCCTGAGCAATCATTGTTATAAATTAAGACAACGATCAAGAAATTTTAAATTTTTCTGGTCAGTATTATTCAATAGGACTAAGGGTAAACTTAAGAACAATCCTACCTTATCTACAGTCCAACACACATGTTGTACAATGGTAGCAGCCATGTGAACCATCACTTCAGACAGGTCCTGTCTTGAATTCTTGTCCAATGATGTATGTACCTGCACCATTGTGTCATGTATCTCTTCAGCATCCTGATCACAAGGAAAAACCAAAAGTAATAATCAACAAACACTCCATATGCAATGTAAAAAACACTAGTCATTTTACACTAGCACCCATTTCATACCATCAGGAAAATACTGTATGGTTTTCCTTATTATTATTACATTTTCAGATACTGTATATAATTTATTTTTTTATCTGTTAAGAAAGTTGGTCTCTGATGCCACTTGGGGATTTATCTTCATAAGGATGATCTTTGTTTCTGGATTAAACCTTTACAGCTACTGTATATTTATCTGCTTCACACACACACAATATTTTCTGAAACAAAGTCAAATCCAAGTGCAGCTGAAAGCCAGTGAGCCATAATCAGACATCAAGCCTAAAATTTTCTTACTGTTAAAGAAATTCAAACTCTCTTTACTGTCTTTTCTTCCTCATGTGCTGCTCAACTTTTCTTTTTACCCAACACACCTATATTACCGGTATAGTATAATACTGTGCTTGTCAACACTGATTTTAACCCTTCACCACTGGAACATCACTTTTAATATTATATTTGGATAGTGCCAGATAACTTTATTAAGCTCAGAAGCAACCCTGTGCACAAGGGGTTAGTTAATACACTGGATACAGCAGTGAACTTGACCAGATTGTGGTTTACTGAATTAGGAATTCATCTCGCTACTCCAACCAGCACATTAATATCAGTTTCCAAATATAAAAATACATATTCTTGGCAAGGACAATAATGCCACACCCTGTACATACTTTTTTTACCATCAAGCATCCTCCTCCTCTTCCTCACATGTCCAAACCATCTCATAGTACCACTCTGTTCTGTTCTGTTGTTCTGTTCTGTTCTGTTGTTCTGTTCTGTTGTTCTGTTCCATTCCATTCCACACACACACACACACACACACAGCCTCCTATACATTTCACTTTGTCATTCCTTCCCCTACTCTCCATTACCCTTTCTCACTCACATATTGGAATTCATCTTCCCTACTATCAATATAATGTATGTGAACACACACCTATGGTAAATTGTCTTGCAATTTGAAGTGGTCTGTTGTTGATATACAGGTGTTAATTATGTGGACAGGCATCACGTCCTCACTGTCTTCATCAGCCTCATGTAAGTGCTCGTATGTTTGCAAAAACTTGTGGGCCTCCGTAGCCAACAATAAACTGTTCTGCCAGAAACTTCCAGAAGCTTCTGAAGAAAATAATTAACATAAGACAACCAAAATAAAGATAAATGTATAAAAACATCTGAAAGCACTTATGAATAAAGCTTGTGTCTAAATCAGGTACACCAACCTCTCATAGGTCATGGGGGGTTACATTCTTGAAAATCAACACATAATTCAAAAACCCGTAAATTAAACATATTTTTCCCAAGAGAATACATGTAAATGGTACAGGTTAGGGAAAAAATCATATAACTGTCACAATAAATGAGGCACTCCGCATTAGAAGGGGGTGATGTGACAAATTAAAAAAGCT